CCAGCAGCTCATCTCAGCAGACAACAGATCACGTGGTTCTACTGCTGTTGCATTACTTACCCTTTCTCACCCCCTCAGCAGTATTTCTTAATAGGGTTTTGCTTTTGGGGTAAGACAGACAGAGAGCAAGTTGGTGGCCATGGTGGGGACATTTCCACCAAGGCAAGTGGCAATCGCCACAAATCAGGGCTTCCACTCACCCTCGCCAGCTGCGAAATATTGGCCAGCACAGCACAGAATGGGGTTCACAATAGGCCCTATCTCGTCAGGGGTGCTTGGGGACTAAAGAAGATGCTGTTGCGAAATGCCAGCCTGGTGCCTGGAGCCAACCTGGCGCTGAGCGCTTGGCAGGAGCTGTGGGCAGGACGCAAATGAGGACAGAGAGTGGACCATTCAGTAACCCTACCTCCATGTGGTAGTTTCGACGTGGATTGCAGACAGGCCTAATTGCATGGGCTTTTCATTTCCTACCCAGGTTATGTTCCCTTATCTAGAATTGCTGCAAGGTCCAAGTGCATTTGCTTAGCAGGAACTGTGTAGCTTCGACTGTTTTTTTTAGAAGCCACATTTGACTTTATCAAGAAACCAGAGACCCTGCGCCGCTTGCCAGCCATGCACAGCTGCGGAGAGAACGGGCAGCCTTCGTTCTCTTTAAAGAGCAAAGGGAAGGTACGAGGGCCCCGGGGGCCCGCCCTTTCCAGAAAAGCCGGGGCTCTGGGGCACTGCTCGACCACAGAGCAGCACTGGCCACTCCCACCCGGGATGCGAAGCGGGCGTGCTCCCTGGGCCCTCCTGCTGGGGCAGGCCCGTGAACAGCCTCTTCTGCATTCACACTCTCTCAGCCTGAGCCTCTGTTCTGCACCGACACGTGGAACTTTCTGCTCACTGTGGACCGCAGAGTCCCATAGTGCATTGCCGTGGGCTCTCTGGGACCCCCTGTTGGTGCTCCCAGACAGGTTTGTGCCTCTCTCCTGGCCTTTGTTCTGTGAATAGCCTGGGACCATCGTTATGCTGTGACTGCCCCATTGCCTGTGTGTGCGGGTCTCTGAAACTCTGAGGGCTGTGAGGGCAGGACCCTGGCCCACCCCACCTCCGTAGCCTGCTGCCTGTCCCCACACAGTGGTCACTGCTCCCATCAGCCCCCTCTCCTTTACCCCTGGAGACACTTTTGCATCATCCCTTGTAGAACAGAATTCTCTTCCCCTTTCGTGCTCCAGAAGCCCCCTGACCCCACCGTCGTCAGCCCCCACGGGAACCTCAGCTACATCTCTGCTTGCAGAGAGAATAATTATCTCCTCGCAGGAGGATAGGAATACAGCCCATTTCACAGGGGTTAGCAAATTAATACAGGGGAAAAAAGCACTCTTAGGTGGTTTCTGACATATAGTAAGCACTTAAGAAATGTTCCATTTCTCTTGTATCCGGCCCCTCAGCCCAGCTAAACCCTCTGCAGGCAGGACCTTCTACCTCTCATGTTTCCTCGGTGTTTAACGTGTATCAGGAGTTTGGTGAGTATCACTTCCCTTCCCCTGCCTCAGGGGCGGTTCTTCAGAAACGGGTCCTGGGTTATGCCTCTCGTCTCTGGCTCTCAGCCTGGAGTCTAATCTGGGGCCTGTGGTCAACACTCAATATAGAGGTCAACAGACTAAAAGGCCAAGCCATGGATCTGAAGCAAGGGCCAAAGCCTACTATGGAAATTCTTTCCAAGAATTCCTCCATAAAAACTTACGCTGCGTGTGCCAAAACTGATGGAGAGGAGATTAGGGTCCTTTCCACCCTTCATGGTTCAGGTGGGCATATGACAGAGTCAGAGTTCAGACCTAGGTCTTTCTGACTGACTGAATCATTATGTTATGTGGTTGGGTCTGAATAAGATGTGATTCCTGTGTGGCCTTGGGCAAGTGACCTAACCTGTCTGAACCTCCCTTTCCTTATCTAACAGCATTTGTGAAGATTAGATGAGATAAGGCTTATAAATGCTTTATCCAGCCAGGCACACAGAAAGAGTCCGATGAATACAGGCTGATTAGTAACACCAGAGGCCCTGGGCATGGCCAATGCTCAGTCAGTGTCCTTTGAAAGAGAGCACCGCTGTGCATTTTTAATTCCCCGGCCCGCAGTTTCTGGACAGGACTCTGAGTCCCCAGCCTGACAAAATATATATTGGAAAAAGCTAGGGGTCTGTGCCGTCCGATGAAAAGAAACAGAACAGATGGAATGAACTGGGACAATGAGCACCTTGGGTTCTTCTCTCTGCCACCTCCTGCCATGATGTTGTAACGCCCCGGTCCCGGATTCCCATGATATTTCTGAACAAATGACTTATATCTTAAGCTTCTTTTTACCCAAGTCTTCCCTGAGCCAGATGAAGATTCTCGAGAAAGACATTTTTCAGTCTTCTGCGGGGTGAGGAGATGGGAGGGGGGATGGGAGGAGAGACGGGTGGGGAAGCTCTGAAGACGAAGGGTTCCATTTCGAAGCCCCCGAAATAAGCAGGGCTGGCCCTGGGGTCTCCCGGGGGGCCGTAGTGCTAAGCAAGCATTCACTTCTCCCCTGTCCCTGTGAGTTAAAGCCTATATGGAACATTCTTCTCTAAATAGAAACCCAGCGAGGCTATGTCATCATACAACCCTGATGTTTTTCCTAAAATAAATCAGGATGTTAAAATAAAATTAAAAGCATGACCCTGACCCCCAGTGAATTCAGATCAAGGATCAGTCACAAGATGCTCAAGGTAGACATCAGCGGGGAAGATTCCATTCAGCCTGCTAGTCATTAACTCCACATAAATCTGCCCTAAAGCCAAGGAATGCCTCGGGGGTTAGTAGGCTCAGGGACAAGGGCCGGGGCCAGATTCTACCACGGAGCCCCATCCCAGCCCCTTCAAGTTGGATACAGCTCTGGAGCAAGAGGCCACACCACTGACGGGTTTGGTCTCTTAGCTTCCTAGTTAGTTTTATTATTGTTTTTTCAATGTGTTAATAAATTGCTTATTAGTTAATTGAGTTAGGGGAAAACCGGTCAAAGGGTCTGGACATTGTCACATCCAATCACTCACGGGATGGGAAAGACCTGCCAGCAACGTGGAACCGGAGAAGAGTGACATCTAGGGTCACCAGCTCTGGCCTTGTAGCCTGACTCTAGTTGTGTGGTTTGGGGTCTAGTAGCTCCAACTTCCTATGCCACCCTCTCCTCATCTTGAAATGGAGGAGAGAATGCCCGTTCATGGGTATTAAATTCCACGCCCTCGTAGAAGCCCCGGCACGTGCAGGCACGCAGCAGACACGTAATATCAGTTTTCCCCTCCTTTTCTCCTTTGGGGCAACGCGTTGCGTTGGGTGAAGGGTGTAGAGATCCAAGTTATAGATCTCTAAGATTCCTCTCAACTGCACATTCCATGAGTCCCATTTCCAGGACAAGTGCCCTGGCAGGGCCAGCATCAGTCCTATATTGCCTCTGAAACGAGGGAGGAAGCCATGATTGGAGATAACGAACCTCATCTCAGCCTCTCCATTGGACACCTACTCAGAGGGGGTTTTCAATCTTTTTGTGCCCGGCACATCCTTCTGGATTTGCTTCCGGGACACAGGGTGAACGTGCCCAGTCTCCAGGCAGCTCCCCACTGTTCCCCAACTGTACCCGCACCTAGAAACACCTGGAAGGTAGGAGCTGACGGGACCAGAGTGAGTCTCAATCACTGTTCTACCAACAGAGAAACAGACGCAAGGGAAGACTTTCCAAAAGACAAACATAGAGTAGATGGCAAGCTGGGAAGACACTCGTATCTCTTCATTTGAGTACAGAGCTTCTCCATCATCCCGCGCAGACCATCCATTCGTTCATTGGCCGATTTCAAACTGAGCTCCCCAAACGGGCTGGGATACAATCAGCACGTATGTATGAAGCGCCCACGTTGGGGCAACGCTGCCTTGACCCTGAAATCCTAACTCCATGTACATCGTCAAATACACACCAGTGTCGCCCTCTCCCTCCCCAAGACTGCCGTGTGTTCCATTACCCTAATTGACAAGTTCCAAAAAAAAACACAAGGGAACGTGGCAGAGTGCACGTCTATTGGTTTCCCCTGCCCAGCAACAGCCCCTTAACCATACTTTGGAGACCCTCCTCTCTCCCACTGTGCATACTGTCCTCTTGAGAGGACATCACTCGGGCTGCCCCACCCTCCCTCTGGCAGCGGGAGGGCACAGAGCCCAAGCTGGGCCAAACTCCCTGCCTTGAATTTAAAGCTTGACCACAACAACCAAAGTCTGATGATGGAGACACTGTCCATTCATTCCTGCTAAATACATCCCGGTCGCTGAGACCAGGTGAGACATCTTTGCTTTGAGTCTATCAGCAACAGATAAATTCCCTCCCTGCTGAAGTTCTATAGGATCGATTTCTGTCACTTGGACCCGATGAATCCCGGCTGGTCTACTTCCCAGCCCAAGGACATCATCCTAATACATGGTTGGCAGGCAGAGAACCGAAGACGGCCACGTAGCCAGAAGGGGCGGGTGACTCACCAGGTTTCTGGTACCATCCAAAGGGATAGGTGCGGACCTCAGTGTCAGGGGAGCCACAGTCCAAAATGCGCCAGGTTCCTGCATTTTCCTCACTGCACGTCTGAAGTCCCAGGCTGTTCAGAGTCAAGCACGCCACCTCTCCTCCTGGAGCAAAGGAGTAACCGGGACCAGAAAGACGATCATGAGGGAAGACTGCTAACTGAATGAGGGAAATCCTGCAAACCCATCCTCCAGCAGGCGCCTGGGGTGCTCTACCGGACTCCAGGCACGATCTTAGCCACCCGTGAAAACCCGGGTACTGCAACGAGCTTGTCTCAGAGCGCAGGGATGGAGGGAGCTTATCCTGATGGGGCGCCCGCCACGCGCCCAGGGCTGGTCTCTGCTGGCATCCCGTCACTCGATCCTCACACAGTCCCGTGAGGGGGATTTGTATTTCCATTTGCACGTGAGGGATGCGGAGACGCTCTGGGATTAAGTGGGTTTTCCTGGATCACATCGCTAGCAAGGCACTGAATCCAGTTTTAAATTCAGGTCATATGGATGGATGCAGAGTTCATCCCACCAAGCTGCCTGAGCCGCATCTTGAGAGATGAGCTGGGAGCCTAGAAGGAGGCCATGTGAGCCAGGCAGTGCCGTGTCAAGGTGCCCAGGTGGTGGGCCAGGAGCCACGGCCGGCCGGCTGTTCCATGTATTAGCCACCGCCCCCACCCAGGCCCCCACTTCCCATGTGTGAACAAGGACGGCACCTCCCCATCCACCCCAAAAAGAGCAGATGTGGGAGCATGTTTTCCAGGCTGCCAAGTGCTGTGCTCAGGCAGGCGGAGTCGCTCTCGCTCTTACCTTTTAGCTGGGACACGTTTAGAAAGCCAAAGCCAGTACAGCACGGGTCTGCATCGCACAGCCGTTCACATTCGAAGAAGCTGGCACGAGGAGAGAAAGAGCGGGCAAGAGGGGTTTTGTGAGTGGCCCAGGACCTACTGAATTACAGTCATTCTTACTTCCGGGAGTTCCTTTCCTCATGACTCCGTAAAGTGGGGGTGCTGTGGCCAGTATGCATGAGTGGATTCCTAGCTTTGAGGGTCCTTCTAAAAACAAAATTCTAGGGGTGCCTGGATGGCTCAGTCGGTTGAGCGTCCAACTTCAGCTCAGGTCACGATCTCACACTCCGTGAGTTCGAGCCCCACGTCGGGCTCTGTGCTGACAGCCCAGATCCTGGAACCTGCTTCGGATTGTGTGTCTCCCTCTCTCTCTCTCTCTGCCCCTCCCCTGCTCGTGTTCTGCCTCCCTCTGTCTCAAAAATAAATTAAAAAAAAATTTTTTTTAATTAAAAAAAATTTCCTTAAATAAAAACAAAATTCTACTCTTTTCTCAGGAACATAGTCTTGGCATCTTTCATTCATTGGCTCACTCTTTCATCAAGCATTTATTCTGTGCCTGTTATGTGCCGGTCTCTAAGCCAAGCTCACCCAGCATCCTGAATGTGAGAAAGTTTGGCTTTGGGCTCTGGGGAAAGGAAGACAGGGTAGAGAAGCCATCTTCAGAAATGGGAGACCCCATGGGCTTGCGGTCCGAGTGATCCAACCAGGTGTCTGTCGGCAAAGACCGGCACATCTCCCCCGACCCAGCTTCCCCTCATATGTGCCGTGTAATGTTGGCTAATCACACTCTGGTTTGCTGGGTCAGCGTATCCAGGCCCCGTCTCGGGACCTACTTTGCCGAATAACCCAGTGTGGCTGCTAGACCCCTCCCTCAGCTTCTAGGACCAGTCCTGGAGAAACGTAGTGGCTCCAAGCCAATGCTCCCGGGCTCAGCTCTAACTCCCCTCACCCTGACTGCCTGTCCCAGTTCTGATCGCTCGTCCTTGACTCGCCAGAGCTCGCTCAACCCTTCAGCTCCTTTTCGGTGGGGGCAAACTGCCTCATTCTTGCCACTTTCCTTCTTTGTCTTAGGAGCCCCTGAACTCAACTCGCATTGTGGTGCACAAAGCCTCCGTGTCTTGGACGATTTTTCCAATGCTGGCTGCAACTCTGCCCTGATGGCTGTGGACCACCTGCCCCGTGGCTCCCTCTCCCAGAGTCCTGCCCACCTGCCCACCCACCACTGTGGTTTCCTCTCTTGGAAGCCCAGTGCTGAGCTCCAGCCTGGATGATGTGCTGTCCCATCAAACCATCCCCAGCACCAGTATGGCATCTATCTCTGGTTCCAACCCTCTCTCTCTGACCCTGCCCCAGCATTGCAAGCAGTGCCCTGCCAGATCTCAAGACAGCCTACCCCATATCAACCTTTTAAGTCCATTTTCAAAAGCAGATCTTTTTTTTTGTAATGTCCATTTAGGAGCGCTTGGGTGGCTCAGTTGGTTGAGCGCCCATCTTTGGCTCAGGTCATGATCTCAGGTTCGTGGCTTCGAGCCCCACATCGGGCTCTGTGCTGACAGCTCGGAGCCTGGAGCCTGCTTCGGATTCTGTGGCTCCCTCTCTCTGCCCCTCCCCCTCTCATGCTCTGTCTCTCTCTCAAAAATAAATGAACATAAGTGTTCATTTATTTTTGAGAGAGTGTGGGAGGGAGGGGCAGAGAGAGGGGGACAGAGGATCCAAAGTGGGCTCTGTGCTGATAGCAGAGAGCCCGATGAGGGGCTTGAACTCACACACCGTGAGATCACAACCTGAGCTGAAGTTGGACACTTCACCGACTGAGCCCCCCGGGCGCCCCTTCAAAAGCAGATCTCAACCACCAGCAACATGACACAGTTTCATAAATCAACAACACTTCATAAACCAACAGTTCATAGGCCAAGGACTCTCGAATTCTAAAGTAGAAAAGAATCACCTGGAGGAGAATTTTACTTAAAATTCAGATTCTTGAGCCCCATCCCAGGAAATGCTGACTCAGTAGGTCCAGGAAAGGACCCAGGAATGTAGTTTGCAAAACATCCTCTTGGTGATTCTGATGGGTGGGATCCAAAGACCAGGCTGAGAGAAACATCACCTTCAAGTAAAACAACTAAATAACAGCTAACTACCTAAATATATAATAACATACTTTTAAAAATAATATATCAAACAAATTAAAATTCCTGATAAGCTTATGAGCTTGTTAGAAGTTCTACCTTCTCTCCAGATTTTGCACACGGCATAGTGAGACTTTGCCGATCAAGTTTATCACAACACTTGATAATATCTGTTAATTAATAAGACACGGGTCAGTATCTCCCTTTTGTGTCAGATGCCTGGAGAGCATGGCTAAATTTTGTGTTTGGTATCAGTAACTTAGCCACGGTTTTTAGATATGGTCACCTCCTCATTACCTTTCCACTCTTTGCGTTGGGTTTTACAGTTTCTTATGTATGTGCCTTTAGTTGATATTAAGTCACCTTCTTACGGAAGCAGAAAAGTCTTAACAATAAAGATTTGAGAGGACAGAAGTAGCTTACCCATTGGAAATGGATTTTTCAGACATGGGCACTTTGTTTCTAATGGAAATCCCCGTCAGTTTTTGGAACGGCAGGCGAGTATAAAAGTTCTTCACTTTATCTCGCAGTATAACTACACAGGGGAAGAAAGAAATTATATATTATCTAGAGAGAGATTTGTTGTATCTATGAAATATGAAGATTAGGGTAGATACAACAGATCGAGAGTTTCCAATTAAAGATGGCATATTAAACTCACATGCTTACTCTCTGTTCTTATCACAAATCTCACTAAAATGACAGTAAGGGGATTCTTGTAAAGGCTCACACACACAAGAATAAAGAGAATAGGATGGGGCGCCTGGGTGGCTCAGTCAGCTGAGCGTCCGACTTCCGCTCAGGTCATGATCTTGCGGTTCGTGAGTTCGAGCCCCGCGTCGGGCTCTGTGCTGATGCCTCGGAGCCTGGAGCCTGCTTCGGATTCTGTGTCTCCCTCTCTCTCTGCCCCCCCCCCACCCGACTTGTGCTCTGTTGCTGTCTCTCTTTCTCTCTCAAAAATAAACGTTAAAAAAAAAACTTGCAAAGAATAGGAGAAGGGATACAGCAACAACTCTGGAAGCTAGAGAGCACACACAGGAGCTAAGAAAGCTGAATCCTCAACTTTTCTGTGGGAAGAACAAGATACCCTATACACCTTCTGGAATCCCCAAAAGTTTAAATATTGACATCACTGGGATGAAGGTGGCCTAAACCAGGATAGTCCGGAAATCTCTAGAAGAAGCAGTTAGGTCTCCGGACAGCTTCCCCGCTTCTGCACAGGAGACAAGTGCCTTCTCCCCACTGCAGAAGATAGAAGGCTTATTCTCCGAAAAGAACAAAAAAGAGAGGATCTCTTCGATGCACCAGGTGGTGTTCGTGGTGGGAATCCCACACTGAAACTAGGGGATTCTTTCAGATCCACCTACATGGTGACGACTGAGACTCTCATCTTCCAACCTTATTTGGCATCCAAACTAACAGCAGTCAGGCTCATGGCCTCAGGCCAGGTGTTACAAGATTCCTTCATGGGAAGGACCCATAAATAAAGACCTGAGGGATCCCCCCAAAGTGTGGCCCAACTAGATTATCCTACAGGGAAACCTGTAGGATTGTGTCAGATGCCTGGATGAGCATGGCTAAATTTTGTGTTTAGCATCAGTAACTTAGCCACGGTTTTTAGACATGGGCAGTGAGCTCTCACCACACACTCTGAGCTTCCCAATCAGTTTCTGGGCCCCTCTCTTACATTTGAATGTAAAACCGAGGGTCACCAGATATCTGAGAAAGAACTCCAGCACAGATAGAACAGTAAACAAAGCATGATAATATCCCAGAAGAAATGGAGACTGTGCAGGGGAAAAACACTCCATAAAAAAAAAAAAAAGTGGCATTAATGTCCTCAGAGAGAAAAATCAACTTCTATCTTGTGAAAGCCACTGTTGGGATTTTCCGTAACAGATAGCCAAATGGAATTTGAACTGATAGGTGCATTAATGGTGGCTTTCTCTAAGGAGTACGATTGCAGAACAGGATTATTCTCTATGGTCAACTTGATGTGTTTCTAAATGGTGTCGCATTGTTACAAGGAGCGTGAGTAACCTTAATTTCAAAAAGAAGAATAAGTTAATGTGGATATTTCTAAAACCAAGGAGCCAGTAGCCCACTGGAGATGCCGTTTGCGCAAATCCCACGAAGCACCCACCTTTCTTCCGGAACAGGGTCTTTGGCCGGTGGGGCAGGAATAGTCTGCAGCCTTTGGGATTGGGCTCCATGACATCGTCACACACTTGGGCCTCTGGGTAGAGGGTGCAGGTGAAGTACAAGGGTGTACTGTCTGTTATCTCCGCCAGCTGACAGAAAGAGGGCTCCTGGATACAGCCTGTAGGCAAAAGAGCAGTGGGTTTCGGTCCTTGGGAGGCCTGAGGGAAAGTAACCTCTACAGGATCTACTGGGAAGACATGCCGGGAAGAGATTCTTCCTTGGGGGACAGAGGCCCAGGACCATTGAGAATATCCATTCTGAAAGGCCCAAGAGAAAATACTAGAGTTCTGCTAGCTGGGGAGACGATTGTGCACCAAACAGGGAGTCCACGTGACTCTGAATGAAAGCAGAATCTAAGAAGGTGAAGAGTGAGCTGTGAACTCAGAAATACAGGGGAAGAGAGAGCAAAATTCCACTGGATCTTTACCCAGGACCATCTCAGAGGCAGTTGGGATCTTCAGACCTGAGGCCATGGGACTATAAAACTTTTGTGAACTCTGTGAATGATCTCCCCTGTTCCACTCCCATGTCAGACTCTCCCACTGGTATATGTGAGATCATACAGTTTTTTCACAAGGATGGATTATAGTTTATTCATCTTCTTTTGTTTTCTCATCCCCAAGGTCAAATGCAAGGCTTAGAACATAGCACATACTAAACATAGCACATGCCTATTGGGTAAAGGATGGGTGGATGGGTGGGTGGATGGATGGATGGATGGATGATAGGTTCTGGGAGTAGAGTAGAGATTATCTCTACTATAAGCTTCTTGAATCGATGGGTTACGTCCTGTCTTTCTTTTGTATCATCCCTGGTACTAACACTGAAGTGATTCCTGAGTTATGCCATTGAGTCTCATCCTATCTATTTCTCAAGAGTCGTAAAACTAGGTCTGTGTTGCCTGACCAGAGGATCCAGAAGAGGAAGGATGTGTTCTAAGGATACTTACGAGACAGGCACCACAGGTTTGCCTGCTGAGGGGAAAACAGGTGTTTGAAAAGCCAGTGCTGCTGGTTGGGCAGGGATAGGCTTCCATTGACAATGACCTGGTTAAGGTCCACGGGGAAGAAAAGTTCTGTTGCCAAATCTGAAAAAGAAGGAGAGGGTCAACTTCCTTTGCTTTATCTCCACAGTGAGTCTCTCTCTCTCGCTCTCTCCCCTCCTCTCTCCCTCTGTGTCTCTGTCTCTGTCTCTGTCTCTGTCTCACACACACACACAACACACACACACACACACACACACACACACACACACACACACACACACACACATTTTTTTTTTAGTCTGTGTGAAGCCAGAACAGGTCTGGAGGCAATAGGGCTGGGAGTCTAGCCAGGCAGGAAGGGGCTGGAAGCTTTCAGAAAGTCCTAAAATTATAGAGTTGCAAGATCTTAGAATCTTAGTTTGGAAGACACCTTGGGAGCCATCTGGTTCAACTTTGCACCCAAGGCAGGACTTTTCCCCATGGTATTTCTGGCCGGTGCCCCTGCAGCCCTGTGTGACGCGTCCGTGCTGACCATAGCAGGCCACTCCACCACTGGGGACTTGTGGAGTCCAAATGGTCTGTCACTTTGAGCCACTGATGCTCCTGTCTTTTGAAGCCACGCAGAAGTGCTGTCTCTCTCCCAGATGGCAGCCTACATTTGTGAAGACAGCTCTGCCCGGCCCCACACCGCAAGCTGCAGCTTTGCTATCCCTTAGTCGTTCCTCGTATCCTCACCATGATCGCTGGCTTCGGGATCTTTCTGGGTGCCCCGCCGCCCACGGGACAGAAGTGCAGCCTTCTTCTTGGTCCAGGCTCCACTTGCGTTTTAAGCTTTATCTGCAGTTGCCTCGACTCATGCTCCAGGAGCTCAGTCACATCGCTTGCTGCCCCAGGACTGTTGACTGTGCTCACCCCTCTTCCTCACCTACCTAGTCCTCCTGTGCTTCAAGGACCAATGCTGTTCCCTCCTGCCCTGATGTGCTGTAGCACTCTAAAGAGGCTCCCCAGTGCTGAGGGGCTCGATGTTCCCTTCACGAGAGGTCTGACTTTGCATAGGCGCTTACCTGGGGGCATGAAGCAGTTCATGGGGATGAGGTGGGGCCCATTTACAATGCCCCTTAGCCCAGGGATCTGGCATCACATCCGTATGGACCCCCATTTGCCTTGGACTTGAGCACCTTCCAGAGGCCCACTTTCCATGCTCCATAGAGCAGGCTCATGAAGACTGAACTTTCTCACCAAAAAAACCCACCAACAGAGATGACATCTTTACTCACATCTGCCAAGGCCAGAAGTTTAGCCCTGGCAGAGACCCCAGAGACAATGTCGCCCTTCTCTGTGCCTCCCCAGCCTTCTGGGTTCTTGAACTTAATATTATTGTACAATGGGCAAAAAAAAAAAAAAAAAAAGCTCTCTTAAAAAATGGGGTGCCTGGGTGGCTCCATCGGTTAAGCGTCCGACTTCAGCTCAGGTCATGATCTCACGGTTTGTGGGTTCGAGCCTCCCATTGTGCTCTGGGCTGACAGCTCAGAACCTGGAGCCTGCTTCGGATCCTGCGTCTCCCTCTCTTTCTGCCCCTCCCTAACTCACACTCTGTCTCTCTGTTTCTCTCTCAAAAATGAATAAACATTTTTTAGAAAACAAAGCTCTCTTACTGTACAGTGGGCAGTTTGCATGCCTGCCCCGTGATATCACTTGTTAAGACAGCAGAGGAAGAAAGAAAAAAAAAGAACACACGAGGTCTGAAGACAAAGTTGAAGTCCCTTCGATCAATTTGCCCTCAGAGCCTTTGCACAGAGGCTGGAAATGCCTGGCGGATCCTCCCAGGCTCCTCTGAGAAGCCTTTCTGACCCCTTCAGGCCGCTTAGCATCCTCCTACCCCCGCATCCCCACCACACTCGACACCTGTCCCCATTGTAGCCTTTGCTACGCTGTCATGCCATGGCTGGCACGGGGGCAATCCTCGCTAGCCTGCGAATGTCCGAGGGCACGGCACTTGTGCTCAAAAAGTGTCTGGTGGACGGTAGAATGAATACGTTGCCCACTCAGTTTGTACTTGGTTTACACAGCATTATTCGGAAGAATTCCTTGCCTTCTTGTTCGCACTCCCCCGGGAGGCAAGGAGGCCGGTACAGGCCTGGCCAGACAGGAGGTTGCTGTGTGTGTCCCAAACACTCAGACTCACTGAAGTAACACTGGAGCAGAAAGGGGACAAGTGCTCCCTGTGCTTTGAATCGGGGAGGCCATTCTTGGGGACACAGGCCAGGTAAACAAGCCACGGAAATGGCACTGGCCGGGCTGCAGAGGAGCAGATCAAAGGGGCCCCTCCTGCAGGGGTGTTATCTTCCTCAGCCCAGGAATGTAATCAGTCGGAAAGGGAAAACCGAGCTGAGCTGGGTCTATTCAGCCTGGATCCCTCCAAGGTCTTGGGCAGGGGCCCAGCTCCCTTTGTGGTGGCAGGAGGTGGGGATGGGGGGGCCGGCGCCGATGGGTCCTTCCTGTGGGAGCCATGTGATGGTTTTAGAGATATGGCCTGACATAGTGTATAATGATGGATTTTACAAAACGTCCAGAATTGCCCCAAAGTCATTCACCTGTTCATTGCCCCGAGGACCCCCGCGGCACCACGAAGGCTGGGGGGGGGAATCGGCTAACACAAGCGGCCCAGGACCGGCAGGGGCCAGTACGAGCACCCAGCGCAGGGCGGGGACTGCCGCAAACGGGAGAGCCATGTCCCTGATGGCAGGGGCAGCTCAACTCCGCTCGGGGGACGGTCGCCAGGCGGAAATTTGAAGCCTGTGTTGCCAGAGCTTTTTCCTCTGTTTTTCTCCCAAGAAGCTTGAAATCTGAATTTTTATATAAAATCTCCCAATTTAAAATTACTGGCTCAGTTAAAAAAATAAGAAAATAAGAAATTTCGCTCTGCAAATCAAACCAAACCCCGTCTGCTCAGTTACCGGGGGGCCACCAGGAGTCAGCCCTGGAGCCGACACCGTCCGAGCCAAGGAGTGGCCGGTGATCTAGAAGAACCCAGGCTTCGGAGGCAGCTGAGCAACAGTCTGAAACCTGGCACCGCTGCTTGCTTCGGGCTGGACTGGCTTTTGACAGGGGATACCGAGGCATCGGAGTCTCATATCGCTCTGATAAAGCGGGAACAACGATACCGGTCGGCAGAACTGTCCTAAGTTTTGCGAGAAGAGATACACACAAAATACCAAGTGCAGGGCCCGCCACCAGGAGGCTCAGGAAGGGGGTTTGCTCTCTTCTGCCTCCCTCCCTCGTGAGTTTTGAACTCACCCTTGCTTCAGCCAGAAGACAATGGCCGGCAGCAGATAAACTTGAACACCAGCCTCGTGTTTGGGAGGCTCTGAAGGGAAGAACGCATTTGCCAATACGCTGGGGCAAAGATCAGAAAGGTGAAGGTCTAGGCCATGGTGCAGAAGACACGAGGCCAAATGCTTGAGAGGGAGCTTGATGAGATCAAAGGAAGGACAGCCTCCTGCACAGGCGCCCGCCCCCGCCCCCCACTCCCACCACCCTGCTGGCAAAATTAAAGCCTCCGCTGGAAAACCTCTGAAGGTTCAGAAGACATCACTGCTAACAGCATCGGACAGGAATATGTCCTCTGACCCTAGTTTCCATCCTGAACTGGGATCTGCTGTCTGATGTGCAGTTACAGGAACAGAGAGGCCTGAGGACAGAACTTTGAGGAAGGCTTGCTAGGAGCCAGGCTTCGTGCTGGATCATCATCACCGATATCACTGCCACCACCTAACAACAGCCACTAATTCTTCAGCACCTGCTCTGCGCCACTGCAAGTTCAGTGTTACTTGCTCCCATTCCCACACTTGCCCCGCCTTATTGGGTGTACCGCTCCCTCTCTCATTTATTGAAGGGGAAACCGAGGCTCAGGGCAGGTGACTGAGGGTTGCACAGGCAGATAGAGGCAGAGGTGGGGTTTGAACCCTGCTCTCCGGGGCTGAGAACCTGCAGTTTAAACCAGGGCTCCACCCTTGGGTCCTGCAACTCTTAGGGATGCGGAATGAACTCATAATTGCCCAACTTCTATGGGATGAGCCCTATTGCTGGTGGTTTCTGTACATTATCTCATTGGATCTGGACAAAAGCCCTGGGTAGAGAGAGGAAGAGGCTATGAATTTGGTGGCATCTGTTAAGCACCAGGCGACATGCCAGGGGCTTTAACTGCCATGTCATCTATGATGGGATTAGCGGAAAGCAAGGTACATTCTCCACATGATGAATCAAGGCTCTTATCAGGTGAGCAAAGTACCCATGGCCGTGGAGTTAGTGGTAAGTGGCCAAAAAAAAAAAAAAAAAAAAAAGGCTCAAGTCCTAATCTATCTGCTTTGCAATGTGGTGTTCCCTTCGTTGGGCCATGCTGTCTCCCCTGTGCCGATAGACTAACCTGCCTCTCCTCTCCCTTCCCTTCCCGTCCTTTCTCTTCCTCCTCCTCCTCCTCCTCCTCCTCCTTCCCCTCCCCTCTTTCCTCCTTCTGGCTTCCACCCTGAGTTTTAGCCCCACCTAAGAAACAACAATTGCAACAGCTAGGGATAGCGTCTGAGACCGCACATACATTCTGTCCCTATCGATGTATGGATTTCTATCGTCCGCTGCACAAAATGACCCTTTCTCAAAAGACTCTCTAGAAATCCCACTCACTGCACAATTCCAGAATAGGTACCTTTTGCTCACACTCACTGACCACAGTCAGATGAAACTTGCCCTTTAATCGATTTTTGCCGGTGTTGGGATGAGGGTTGTTTTGCTTTCCAGTAGCACTGTTGATGTGGCCATGATCTCACTTTGCTTTCTGTGCCAATGGCCCCACTGAATGGCTGTCCCTGTTTGTGAAGTGAATAACTGGGGTTAAAAGCTAAGAGGGCAGTCCATGGCTACGTAACAGAGCGATGCTAACAAGTCCATCCACTGACTAGACCCTTGGCCTCACCATCTCGACTCCAGCCACACACCAAGTATATAAAAGGTTTCGGGGCCGGTACCTGGTTCTGTTGGAGACGTTGGCCCTGGTTCCGTGTCTTTTCTGCATCCCATAGACTCAGACCGAGACCCCATGTCCGAATCTAGGAGTAAAAAGGAAGTATTGCTGTCCTCATGTTGGGGCGGAAAAAGGGATCGACAACGTGGCGATGTGGAAAATCCTCACGGTCCACAGCCAGGTGCCTAAGACAGGATCTGGGACAAATCCAGGGGCAGAGGACTGTACCCTTTGGCCATTTAGGGAACAACAGCCAACCTCTCAATAACAAAACCGTGACTGTCCTCGCTTTTGAAATGATTACCACTTGCACAGCTAACGAAATGTGTCCATAAATATTGGCCTTTAACACACCCCATGAAGGCAAGGAGGAAGATTCCCATTTTTCTCTAGAAACGAAAAATGGAACTGTGTAGAGATGAAAGGACTTATCCCAGAATATGCAGGTGGCAAGTAGGTGTGTTCGAATTTGAAAAAAATTAAATAAAACCCTCAAGTTGGGAACTTGTCTTCCAGGAAAGCAGAGTGAGCCTATGGGGAGAACAGGGCATTAGACAAGCCTGTGGGTGCTTCTGCTCAGCGCTGCAAATGTCCTAGGGAGGAGAAATTCCTTCATTCTTCACCAGCTAGCTGCTTATTTATCAGAAAATTTAGGTAACGAGGAAGCACTGAATTCGGAGCCAGAGTCTGGGTCCCACCCCCAGCAATCCCCGGGGGCACATCACTGACCCTCGCCACGCTTTGTTTTTCTTGTCTGCAAAATGGAAAAAATGTCACCCCTTTATATAGCCACCTTACAGGGACGACCGAGACAGAAGTGTATAATCTCATTAAATCACTTTAAAACGAGACTATGATGGACGCCCTCCGTTCCTTCCTCTCCCTCATTCTTCCTTCTGCCCTACCTCCGTCCTCACCACCACTGGCATGAGTTAGCAGCACGGATGCACGGGGCACTGCTCCCTGCACTTCACCTGCAACTACCTTGGCTGTGCTCACATGACCCTGGAAGGCGAGAGCTCTTACCGCCATGTTGCCCACCAGAAGCCAGGGCTTGTGGGGGGGATAACTGATGTGCACCAGGTCACAAGGTGGTGGGTAACAGAACCAGAAATCGTACCTGGGGACTCTACCCCATGCCCTGTGTTCTTTCCCATGATCTCAGCTCGCGGGCACAGAAACAGTCCTGTCTCTAAGGGGACCTGACGTGGGTGAGGAGGGATCAAGGGAAGAGGAGGGAAGTGATGTAGGGGCGGGATCTGTCCTCACCCTCCCGCTAGCCCCATGGCCATGGCTTGTAAGGGTCCACTGCCCGAGGCTGGAGCCCCCACAGTGAAAGCTGTGCCTCAGCTCTCCCTCTCATTCTACTTCACTCAGACTCCTCTCCTCCATGATGTCTTGAACCATCCCGTGTCCCGGGCTCTGAGTAGGCACTTGGTCGACGTTGGGTAAACTCAGAGGAGGCAAACAAAGCAGTCAGGAGATGCCAAATGGGCACTACCAGAAGCACTCCCTGTAAGCAGGGTCAAGGCACCACCACGTGTCCTGTCCTCTCACCCTGACCTCAGCGTGGCCGTGGCCGTGGCCCCTGGGGAAATGCCTCCCTAGTCTGCTGGGGCCTCAGAGCTCCGATCCTGTAGCAAGGGCAGCTTGTGGGCAGCGAACGTGACCTCACAGGAAGCCACGCTTCCTTCCCCCATCCCCTCTGGGGTTTCCACACTTTCCATTTTTCTTTCTAAGGTTTGGTATCTTATCTGATGAGAGCCGAACCCTTCTATGCCACACAGAGCCCTCACTTGGAAAGCAAATCTCTACAGTTGTCTCTCTGGGGAGCAGAGTGCCCTGTGAACGAGAGGTGGGGCCAGACAGTCTCGCGTAATCAGGGTCCCGCTCCCTCTCCCCCAAACACATATCCACAGCTCACCTTTCCAGAGATAAACCTGCTGGAAGCTGGTAACGGCATCCTGAGTTCCTTCCAGGGCTGCCGGAACTGCAAAGGGAGATATTTATTTCCATGAGCTTCGATGTGCTGGTTCTCACGGGGGACCCGCCATGGCCACGCTGACCCACCGCTCCCACACGGGCCCCTCTTGCCTGAGAACTCTATTTCCCATCGAGGCGCACTCAAAGAGGGAGCCTCGTGGAGGGGTCTTCCAGATCTCTGGTACAAAGCCAGAGCTGGTCGGACCCCAGGTGTCTGGCTCAGGGCATCAAAGAGACGGTCGTGGGGAGAGGCCAGGAAACCATGAGACAGAATATTACCGAAGGAACCGGGGATTAGCCAAAAGAGAACCAAGTCCACGGAGACCCTGGGGCTGCGTCCATCATCCCTGTCACTTCAGTCCTCTGAGGCTCTGGCCTTGGGGGAAAATGGGGATGATGATGGGAGGCTGGGAATACTGTGAAGTCTCTTCTGTATCCTCCACATTTGATGTGCACCCTATGGTTGGTAGCTGCCATTATTTAATTTGTTACTAATATTATTCAGTGTCCTTTTCTGCCAAACGACACTCCTCCGGCATCACCCCTGGATGAGACCGGCTTTGCCACACCATTCCTTGATGGTCAGGGCAGCCTCTCTTGCCTCCGCTCAGCCCTAAGACCCTGCCAATCCCCCTGTGTTATGAGAGGCTAAGAGAAGAGCTCAGAAAGTACAGATTCTGAGGCAGACAACCCCACACATGGCAGGAAACACCTGGCTCACAGTCTGAGACATGAAGAAGTGATCACGTCTTGTTCACTATTATTAAGAACGACATATTATTAGAGCCAATTATTATTAAGCATCATTGCCATTTGCCCAACACTATGAGGAGCACTTTCCAGATATTGCTTCATTTAAACCTCATAGTAGGCCTTTTTTGCCCCTAATTTGCAGGTGAAGGTCAAAATCCAGAGAAGTCAATGCCAGAACTCAAACACCACTTTCTAGGCTCCAAACCCCATGCTTTCAATCACCTCACCAAAGAGAGGATAACATATTTTAGAATTCTGCCCCTCCAAAATGGCAAACATCTGTAAAGGTTCTTGTGTTTAGAGAGGTGTTTAAGGAGGTTTAAAGAAGTTCAATTAAACAGTGACCTATTTGGGAAATTCAGCTATTAAAGTCATGAGCCCTTCCCCACCAAGAATTACCATGCTTGCCCCTCCCATGGGGCGTGGCCACCCCATGCTGGGCCACGGGGGTGAATCAAAAATATTGAGCTGCACTTCCACTTGGTTTTCCTGCTAACCTGGGAATAAATAATGATTCTAGAACATCTCACGCTACCCAATATTGGGATTTCATGTTTCCTTAGAAGACCTACTCATAATTCTCTCAAAGCCCTCTTCAGAGGGTGGTTGTCACTTATAAAACTTTGGGGAAGTTAAAACCTATGATATCTGGAAGATAGAGACTTGGATCTCTGAAAATGTGAAATTCACTCTACACAGTACAGAGGAGCCACTGTATACTCCTCCAACACCAACACCGAGCAGGGGCTCGATCTGTTCTGCTTCCGCCATCTTTCCTGATCACATTTGCTTATGATGAAGGTCAGACTAGGGGACTTTGTCCCACGAGAAATTAGGGAATTTGTGTCTTAAGTCTTTTTACACTAAATATATTTGGCATACTGACTCTTCAAAAGGATGGAAGTAGAAAGAAAGAAAGAACGAAAGAACAAAAGAACGAAAGAACGAAAGAAAGAAAGAAGGGAGAGAGAAGAAAGAAGGAGGGAAGGAAGATGTAAATATAGATATACAAATATATGCTTTTGGTAACATAAATGTCAATAACATAAGTAAATAAAGTCAATACAATTTTCAAAACAGCGTAGGCCATCCATTAGGATTCTTACTTATCCTGTAAAAGCAGGAGACGCATCTTAGCGGAAGGGTGCTTTAGTGCTCTCAAACCCAAGACTAAAACCAAGGACCACTTCATGACGTACTTTACCATGAGGGGTACTTGCATTTGGATCAGGGACCCTCAACAAGTATTAGTTCACATCCACACCCCTGCTTCTTCCCAAGAGCAACAATCTCTCAGGGATTTCTTCACCACTCGGCAGTTCCCATTTCTGACTTGGGTGAGTTGGTGAGACTCTCATGCGGTCCAGAATATCTCGACGATGTGTGCAGAGTAGGTCCTGCCTTCATGGAGCGGCAGAGAAAATCACAGTGCCCTCCATCACCCAGAGGAGAACAGGTGCTCCACACAGGTGCACACAGATCTCACACTGTACTGGGGGGGGGGGGGTGCCCAGAATGCACTGCGCTGTGATGGGAATGGGACCTTCTGACCCACTTTTTATTCATCTCGAGGCAAAGGAGCCCTGTGACTTCTAGCCTGGAAAATATGGCGAGTCTTAATCTCATCCTCGGTTTTTGCCCATTTCAACACAGCTCAATCCAATGGAATTCAGGTAAATTCAGCACACGAACACTGAGCACCTTGGTCGATCCAGACAACCACCCGACCAACATCTAAGATTGGCACGTAGGTGTCTGTAAGTCACACAGAGAAAGTGATGATGCCTTGGTCATTTTAACTACGGATATGATTGCCCGGTCTCCACAGGGGTGCGCAGGAAACACGGGGACGAAAAGAATGGCTCTGCGCTCTCTCTTGTCTGCCCCATCTCCCACCCCATGTCCATATCCACACTTACCTCCTCCGTCTTTCCAGATCGGTCGATGGCGCCCCCTCCTTCCTGCTCACCTTCTAGGAGCCACCCTCCTCCCCTGCATCAGTCTCCACATCCAACCAGCCTGTTGCCTAAACTAGTCTCAGATCCGCCCCTGCCAAGGGACCCACCACCCTTTCACACAGTTTTAACACATCTTTTGACACGATTAGATTTTTCACTGGTTCCCTTGACTCCTTCCCACCCCCACCCCCGACCGAGCCACACAGCACCCGGGTATCCTTCCCGAAAGGCAATCCTACCTCCCGTCTTGCAAGAGCTGCTACACATTTCAGAATTCCCTTCCCTGCGATCAGGTTCTTGAAAGTGTGAGCAGCCGCCCGGCGTCTGCAAGGTGCCCATCTTCCCAGTTACACCTAACACGTGCTTTCAGGCTCCTGCGTCACTGCGTGTGCTTCTCTTCTCTGCTTAGAACTCCTGTCCCCTGCCACCTGGTTAACCTCCATTCACCCTTTAAGAATCAGGATCTACATCACCTCCTTCTAGAAGGCCCCCACAACCCCCCTGGCTGGGTTATGTACCCCTCCTCTGGATTTCCGCAGCACTCAACAAACACCTCTGTCTTTAAGCTCACACTTGACTGTAATTGTCCTTGAATGTACTAGAGCTTTCCGAGGTTGGGAACGGGGCCTTCTTCATCTTTGTATCACCCACACCGAGCATAATCCCTGCTGCAGAGCTGTCGTTGATTGCAAGGAGGAACACAGAACAGAAGCAAACGTTATGCCTCCCCTTTCCTGCTAAGCAATAGTCTAACATAAAACAGGTTTCTTTAAGTTTATTTATGTATTGTGAGAGAGAGAGAGAGTGGAGGGGGGTGGCAGAGAGAGAGGGAGAGAGAGAGAATCCAAGCAGGCTCTGCACTGTCAGTGCAGAGCCCGATGCAGGGCCTGAACCCACAAACCGTGAGATCACGACCAGGGTGGAAATCAAGAGTCGGACGTTTAACTGACGGAGCCACCAGGCGCCCCTAAAGCAAAAACAGTTTTAACTGTCCAGACATTTGTCCCATTCCTTCCGTGATAGTTGAGTTAGAACATCCCTGTTACACAAACAGGGCTCCACACTGACTCATCGCCTCTCTCTCGGTAATCAAGGCAGCAAGAACGCACACACATTTAGAAGTTTTGGGGTTTGGCCCGGAGCCTGATTCTTGGGGGTTGATGGGTGCTGTGTGGTCTTAATATATTTCAAAACACTTCTGCAGAGGTCATGTGCTGTGTCTGGGGTGGGAGTGGGGGCTCAGTTTGAATCTACAGCCTGGGAGTGGGCAGCATCCTAAGCCAGAAAGCCCAGGTTTCAGAGCCCACCGTATATTCTTTGCGCCTCCTAAACAAACTGCACTCTCGAATCCTTGTCTCAGGCTCTGCTTAGTGCTAAGCACATGGATAGCTCCTGTAAATAACTAGGAGGGTCAGCCTATTTATAGATGCTCATCAGACATCAACTCCAAATGCATTTGGTGACAAAGAGCATCACAGAGGCACTGTTAAGTTTTTCCACCAAGCTCCCGGCACCCCGAGACAATAGCAATCGCTGATACAAAACAGACTCCTGCAAAGGGGATGCCAGCCATCGGCCTGAGCCTCACCATTGCCCAAAGCATGAAGCCTTTGGGATTCAGGATAAAGCCAGGGGTGTTCTGCCAAGGCCTGTGTTTTCCTGTCAAATGTCAAGTCTCTGTGGACATTAGGGGACATTTAATCTGCCTGTTTTCATTCATTTGCACTTCAAGACATTGTGAGAAAGGAGCCATAAGCCATTCCAGAGCTTTCCAAGACTTTCCTCTTAGAAAAGGGAAGATGGACCCAGCCAGCACCAAGTAGTTGAAACATCCAAAGATGCCCACTGGCAATGCGGGAGATGCCGACCGTGGGTGGGTTCTGATCTTGAGGGAGATGTTTAAACAGAAATCTGATGACGGGAAAGTGAAATCTCACAACCAGGAAAAGCACTGGGCCTTCATATTGGATAAAACGGCCTCTCCGTAATTTGTGGGGGTTTTTTGTGGGTGTATTTGTTTGATGTGAACCTGGTATTTGTTTGGCTTAACAAATGAAGAGAAACGTGCTAAAGAGGCATTCTGGGGGCGCCTGGGGGCCTCAGTCGGCTGGTTGTCCAACTTCAGCTCAGGTCATGATCTCATGGTTCGTGGGTTGGAACCCCACGTCAGGCTCAGATCCTGGAGCCTGCTTCAGATTCTGTCTGTCTGTCTCCCTCTCTCTGTCCCTCCCCCACTCATGCTCGCTTCTCTCTCTCTCTCTCTCTCTCTCTCTCTCTCTCTCTCAAAAATGAAGAAACATTAAAAAAAATTTTTTTAAATAATCCTCAAAGTAGAACATGCAAGAAGCTGACATTAATGACCCAATGTCTGGAGGAGACAAGCCCAGAGAGATGGCCGAGGAGCAACATTCTTCATCACTGGACTCCTTAATTTGCTGGAATCACTCAAGTAACCCAAGCAAGTGGCACCAAGGGGGCGGTGGGGAGAGCTTTCGCTGATAGCTCTGGTCTCCCAAGTTTAAGGTGCAGGTGCCAGCAATGACAGTTTCCTTAAGCACACCACATCACAGCTGTGACTGCACTCTCGTGCGTACAACTGTGATGCGACCAGCTGCCTCCCCCAAGTGTCAAAAGCATCAGTGAGCAGCTCGGTGTGAAAGCGTTTTGCAAAACGCAACACGGATTCTGATGTGCTTCCCGTCTGATTCAGTGTATTCCACTGGGTTACAATTTCCCACAAATGGCAATCAACTCGCTTATACACGTAAAGGCTGATTCTCCATTAACCAGGCTAGCTGTTGAACCAGCCCCCTCGAAGGACCCGCGAGCTGACGGATGAAAGCGGACGTCCAGACCAGAAGTCCTACAGGGTGCCTCTGCGGGATGTGCCGTCAGGGGACCCGGGACTTGAGGTTCAGAAAGCAATGCCTTCAACTATGGCCTAGAGGGAATATGAGCACTTCACTCCGTAACATACAAAAAAGCATACCCCCATTTTATAGATGGAGACGCTGAGGCTAGGAGAGGTTAATGTGCATTCGAGCGAGGCCGCGGAGCTGGAGGAGAAAAGCAGATTCGTGTCTGGTATTTTCAGGGCAGGCCACTGCTCCATAATCTCTAGTATCTACTGAGTGCCCACCTCGCTGCGAGCATCACTCCAGTGCCTCATCGCACACTCCTCCCTTAATCCTTCCAACCCCCCTAAGGGCCCAAAGTCATCATTATCTGCACTTTATAACTGGGAAAGCCAAGGCCCAGAAAGGTCATACAAGGAGTACAGGCAGCCACACTGGGATTTGAATACGGGGTCTAATTCCAGAGTGTGTATTGCCGAGACCATCTAACCAATGGCTAAATGGGAAGGCAGGGGCTGAGAGGGGCAGAGCTCGTCTGGATTGTCCCCAGCTCCTTCCCATGTGCTTTCGATCCTTGCTGTGGCCTCCCGTGCTGCCGTCTGGACCCATGGAATCCTCACTCCTCTTTCCTTCTATCAATATCTGTTCTTAGAAAAGGGAATCTATCAGCTATTCACATCTTAGTAAGAACTTAAATCTCATTTCTTTTCCCAGGGATTAATTGTACTTAGAATTGACCAATTACCACGACAGGAAGATTTGTGCCCTGCTGTTCCCAGTTGGAGAGGGCCTCCTGATCAGTCTGTGTAATAAGGCAACTCTTAATTTGGAACATCATGAATATACCTCAGGGTGCCTGAAATCCCCATCCAAGCACACCCTTCGTAAAACTTAGCCCACACCACGGGTGCCTGGGTGGCTCAGTCGGTTAAGCGTCCGACTTCGGCTCAGGTCGTGATCTCACAGCTTGTGAGTTCGAGCCCCTCATTACTGTTAGTTCGGAGCCCACGTCAGATCCTCTCTTTCCCTCTGTCTGCCCCTCCCCCACTCAAGCTAGACTCTCTCTTTCAAAAAAAAAAAAAAAAACCATGAAAAATACTAAACAAAAAAGAAACCTTTGCCCGCACCTCAAAATACACACAGACACACAGAGCACTGAAAGAACCCGAAACTTCAAAAGTCATTTGGTAATCACTCCTTCTCAGGGAGGCCAGACAAGGACACATTCTTTATTTCTTGGGCACACACCAAGCACATGCTCCATGGTAAGCAATTCACTCTGGATTTACTGCCCATAAACATATCATACGTCTCTCTTCAAATGCTTGTTTTCACCCTGGGCTACCTCTCAGAATAATGGATACCATATGTTCACTGTCTATCCTATAAATAAGTTGTTTGATTTTATTTACCCCCCAGAAAACTAAGCCTCATGGAATCCCACCTAATTAGGCAATATTTTTTGTTCAGGCTTTGGTAAATAGTCACTCCACAGGTATTATGTGTATTCTCTACACCAGGTTTCATGCTTGACGCTGTGGATCCAGAAATTAGTAAGACACGGTCCAGGTCTTTAAAATAGCAAAACGCAGTGACAACTTTAAGAATGAAAATAATAGTATCTAACATCAGTACTAAGTGTCAGACACCCTACAAAGTCCTCAAACAGCTGTATTATCCGCAGCGTCCACTACAGAGAAGTGGGCAAGCCCATCAGCTTTAGAACCACATCACCCCGTGTCGGGTCCCAGCCCTTCTACTTGGAAGTTCTGAGCCCTTAAGAAGACTTTGCTTTCTGTGTGCCTCAGTTTCTTCAGCTGTAAAACGGGGAGCCTTGGTAACAGTGCCTCCCCACAAGCACCGTGTGGGGGGTACGTGCCTTAGCAGTGGCCGGGCCCTTAGAGCAGGGGTTGGCTCATCGCACGCACGATGGGAGACACGTCTGTGTTACCGCCAATATCTTCCTTTCCGCCATCACCACAGCCCAGGGAGATGGGTCCTGTCCTCACCCCGTTTTGTAGCCAAGCCATCAGGCCTGAAGACCTTTACTGACCGGCCCCAGGTCACACACGCGGGGTCCCAAGCTGGGATTCACCACCACAGGCACACTCCCGGCTGGCAAGTGAGACCCGTGGACAGGCAGAGGCACACCTGCAGGGCACTGCCCCCCGCACGGCCCCCCACACTGCCCGACAGAGGGATTCGTAAACTGTGTGTCATGCTCTGCGGCGGAGGAAGCAACAAACTCTACAGGGTAGTCAGGGAGGGCTGCTGGAGGAGGTGGCAAGCTGTCTGCCATTAGAACCCCAAGAGCTGCCGTCCACTGAGCAACAGGTCCTGCAGGCCTCCCCTGGAGGCAGGAGACTGTGGCCGCCACGTCCTGTAGAGACAGGAATCTCCAAGGGCTCTCTGACCTCCCCGCAGCCCCTTCCCCGCCCTGTCCAGCCGACACCCGTGCGGCTTTCACCCCTCCCGTCGCAGAGGGTGGGCTGGGACCACGTGCTGGCAGGAAAACAGAGAGGGAGCCAGGCTGCCACCAACCTCACAGAGGAACCGGGAGCGAGGGATCCCTGGGCCCTGTTCTCACTATAAACTCCGACTGTTCGGGTCGGAAGGAAGCTCCCAGGTCACCTCGTCAGTGCTTCTCACGCTTCTCAAACTCGGCAGGCATAGCATGATCCTAGACAGCCGGTTAGAACACACTCCTGGGGCCACCCTGGGGGTCCGGGGCGGGACCTGAGAACTTGTGTTTCTAAGGAGCTTCTGGTGATGCTGAGCCCGCCGGTCCTGACCGTACTGAGTGTTGCTGCTGTGGTCAGTCTCCAGCTCAGGACTCTTCCCTGAGGGACACCTGCCGAGAGGGCAGGGCTGGGGCGGGCAGAGAGGAGATCTGACTGGCCGCCTCGCCAATGCCTATCCCTGTGAGATGAGGGGGCGGGCAAACGATCTCAGAGCGACTTCTAGATCTAAGGCTTCTAGGCTTGTGGGAAAGGTTGGAAGAGCTTCTGAAAGAAAGAAAGAAGAGGAAGGCACGGGCCGGATGGTGATTTCTGTCAATGGAGCCCATGTGGGGGGGCGGGGGGAGGGGCACAGTCTCTTGCACCCCTGGAATTAGAATGGGCAGTGTGGCTGGTACCGGGACCACCTGCAACAGAGTAGCCTCCCGGCGAAGCCAGACCCCCCCCTCCAGCCACCCTGGGGTCTGCGAGTTTTATGCAGCATCTTTGGTCCAGTTTCTTTTCAGAAGGAGAAATTTCTCAGGGTACAAGGAGGGCTCTCAGGGGAGGGGCAGAAGACCTTGCTGCTGAGGAAAATTCTTTCTGAAGGAACGTAAGCCGAAGGCGGAGACTTACTCTCGAACTCCTGGCCTCCCAGCCGCAGTGTCGCCGGGCGGCTCCCCTGGTCGTATGTCACACCCGGACACGTGGCATTAGCCCTGGCTTCCGTGGGGTCCCTCCAGTCTTTGACGTTGCAAAGCAGGACGTCGGGGGAGCTCAGCAACCCGCAGATGAGGGGACCTGCAGAGTCACGAGAGGGAAGAGAGGCTGACGTGATAGAGACAGGAAGGCCCCCGCCCACCAGGGACTCACGTCTGTGCCCCGAGAGGCTTGGAGGATGGGGACAGGTAACAATTCCTCGGGAGCACAGAGGGACCCTGGAACTCAGGAGCCTGGTCTTCAACTGGGTTACTTTTCCCTGATAGGCCTGCAGTTGCCACTGGGGCAAATTGCCCAAGGAAGAGCCACCAGTGCGACTGCCGAACTTTCCTTGTGCGTCAGAGGCCTTCTTCGTGGGTCAGCAGCAGTGACGACACCTCAACACCACTGGGGGTCTCGGTGCCAGAATCCTCTGTCCTCCTCCTCTACCCCCACCACATGCAGAGCTTTTTTGAGGCCTGGAGCAAATAAACAGCAGCCCCCCGCCACCCCTCAGATACACACACACACGCACACACACGCATCAACCTTGAAGGGACTCAGATTCAAAGTAAGGAACTATGAAAAACCAAGAGCCCTGCACCAACAGCACAAACTTCCCTATCAGGAAGCAAGCTCCTTGTCTCCGGAGGCATTCAAGCACAGGCTGTGTGCCCGCGTGTCCGGGACGTGCAGGGAGGTATCTCTAACTAGGGTAGGCACCAGACCATTTTGTCTTGAATATATAAATATCTGAAGTTTTATTTTTTTTTTAGTGTCTATTTATTTATTTTGAGGGAGAGAGTGAGCACATGAGCAGGGGAGGAGCAGAGAAAGAGAAAGAGAGAGAGAGACAGAGAGAGAATCCCAAGCAGGCTCTGTGCTGTCAGTGCAGAGCCGGACGTGGGGCTCAGTCCCACGAACCATGAGATCATGACCAGAGCCGAATTCAAGAGACACTTAACGGAGCCACCCAGGTGCCCCTATATATCATTTTGGTCAATAATCCCATTAGGTAGTATAGTTGTTAAGATTCTCCTGAAAAAAAAAAAAAGGAAATACTCATCATTCCATCCTCCTTATCCTCGTTTCTACCCAAAGCCAGATAGCATTTCTAACTCATCTGTCACCAAATCTCCCCAAAGTAGATGCCGCAGACGCCTGCCTTATGAATCTGACGTCCTGTCCCCCCCCCCCCCCCCTGGCCACTTTTAACCTGCAGTTGCCAAAAAATCAGCAGCAGCAAACACCACCTTCGAGGCCCTCTGACTGGTGGTTCTCCAACCAGGGGGCTGCGACCGATCTGATCGACAGCACAGGGAGAGTTCTGAAAATGCTCGTTCCTCAGCACCAACCACAGGGTTTCTGACTCTGTAGGCGGGTAGGTAGGTTGTAGGTCTTGGAGGGGTGGGAGGTGGTGACATTTGGGAATTAGCATCTGTAAACAACACCGCAGGTGATTCTGGTGCCCGGATGGATTCTAGAATCCCTCGCCTTGTGAGCCCAGTTCATTCCACGGATGAGGAAGCAGAGGCATGGGAAAGGGGACTGGTTTGGCTAGCTACTGAGGAATAGCCAGCCGGCAGCGAGGGCCTGGGACCTCAGTGGGGGCCGGGAGGAGCCCGCTGAGGGCCCAGAGGAAGTCTGAGCACTAGGGCCGTCCTCTCACAAGCCAAGACGCAGACTCATGGGATTAAACAAGAGGCGGGTAGATTTTTCCTTCTGCTCCAGACCTTGGAAAGCAAAACCCACGCAGCTTTGTCCTTTAGTGCTAAAGTGTCAACGAGATCTCCGTGTGTCTGAGACATGGGTGCCAGCTAGAGATTGGAAGTCCCTTTTGCTGGTCACACACTGCCCGCTTCGGGTACACGCCCGTGTACCATGAGCCGCGCGAGGCCCTCTGAGCCCCGCTTCCAAGAATCCCCCACTGACACGTAGGTACAGAAGCCTCACGAATTGTCCTTACTAGTCAGTGGAAACAAAGCCACTGAGGCAGGGGGAAGGGGGGAATCCACCAGAAAGTTAAATGACTTTCCAGACTGCGGTAGCAGGATTCTGTTCCCGGCCATCGGCAGACCCAGCCAGCACTTTCATAATTTAAAGCTCCAAATCTGCCCGTCGGGCGAGACTGGGGAAAACATCTGCCTTGATGTTTTATGTGTGTCTCGAGGAGAGCTTAACTCGCGGCGCTGTGAGGTGGTCGGTCAGCTGGGCATAAATCACGGATCACAGGTTACGCTTGGAGGAAAAAGCAAGCGAGCTGCTAGCCAGAAATGTCATGGAAAAAAGGATTTTGTGGGCTCACTGTTCCATGGAACACAATAATTCTTCCATATAGGATTCTAAGGAAAGCGAAACGAACCTTCCAACTCGAAAAACCATATGGTTGGGTGAGTAATGGAGCATCTGGGGAAATTGTGGTATCCTCGGAAAAGAAGGCAGAAGGCATCCTTGATTTGAACTGCAGTGTTTCCCACACACACACGCTGACACACATGTCCATGCTTACACGTGTCCGTGTGGGTTTAATCTCTCTCTCTCTGCATATACTTTTGCTTACCTAAACACTAACACGAATGCACATCATATAATCACAGAGCATCAGGCCTAAAAGGAATTTTAGACTCTAACTTGGTCCAGTCCAGGCTCCTGCCCTATCACTGCAACACTTTCTCATTCGGCCCCCGCAGACCACAGGGAGCTAGCCTCAGCGTTTTCAGCAAACACCCTGTTTGAACCCCGGGCAGCATTCAAGTCTGTTGACAAAATTCCTCCATGTGTCACCCCTCTGCACCACGGCTTCCGTGAGGCACCACCCTCCCGGGTCTCTTCCCTGCTGTCTGGCTGCTAGTTCTCCATCTTCTTCGAAGGTTCTCCCCATCATGTAGGTGTTCACCAGGGGTCGGCCCCCATCACCCTTGACCTTCTCACCCCGGGCCCGCCTCCAAGGAAATCCCACCCATACCCACGGTTCTGATACCTCCTCAACACCGGGAACGCACGCCTTTCCATCTCCCGCCCTGACTCCCCCTCTGAGCTTTGGATCTTCGTCCCCAAAAGCTCAGTCCCACCTTGTGACTGTCTTAAAGGCGTCTCAAACTTAGCACAGTGTAAATGGGTTCATGACCTTCCCAAATCTCTGTCTCCCGTTACCAAACCCAACATCTCCCATCATTCACTACACAAGCAAGCTATCTAGGTGAACAAGTTGGAGAGCCAAGAATGGTCCTCAATACTCATGTCCAAAGTCCTGTCAGTTTGTCTGCTATTGATACCTTGAATCTGTCCCCTTTTCTTCATCTCCACTGCTGTCCCCTCAGCCCAAGCTACCCCCTCTCACCTGGACGGCAGGGTGTAACTCCTCACTGAACTCCACATCTACTCCAACTCCCCATCTATCACCTTCTCAAGACAAAGTGTCAAAATTCGTATCTGATCATGGCATTCCTTTCCTTCACACTGTCATTAGCGGGGCACCTGGGTGGCTCAGTTTGTGAAGCGTCCAACTTCAACTCAGGTCATGATCTCACAGCTCATGGGTTCGAGCCCCGCGTCGGGCTCTGTGCTGACAGTTCAGAGCCTGGAGCCTGCTTCGGATTCAGAGTGTCTCCCTCTCTCTCTCTCTGTCCCTCCCCCACTCACACTCTCTCTCAAAAAAACATTGTTTTTAATTAAAAAAAAATACTTTCAAAGGCTTACAATTCTTCTTAGAATCAAAACCACCTCTACTGAAGCCCGCGGGTCTGCCTAAGCTAAGCGGTCACCTCGTGCTGTGACTCCCCACGCCGTCTCCACGTTGTATATCCTGGCTTCTGCGACCCTGCTTATTCCTGTCAGACCACGGGTCCTGGCACCGGAGGGCCCCCGTCCTCACTGCCACATTAGTTACCTCCTTGGACCTGTGCAAGGATGAAGCCATCACAGCACGAATCACGGTCGCACGCCAGAAGACAGAAGAGATGAACCCCGGTCAGATCGGCTCCCGAGGCTGAGAACACGACGGCCCCGTACGTTCCAGAGAGCGCGTTTTGGAAGCCCGTTGGCTTGAAGCTCTTCCGGCTTGTTGTGGTGAATTCTTGGCCTGGGGAAAAGGCAGAAAAAAGTTTTTTTTAAAGATCTGAAAACAGTTCGGAGTCCGCCACAGTTTACGGGTCACGTGACAACGGACCCTCCGTTTGGGCCAGGGGCAGCATCGAGTCCAAGATGTGACGCTCTCTGCACCGCGAAACTTCTGGATTTCCCATGCGTGAAGGAGGGGGAGCCCAGCAGACCTGGACAGACGCCCCTCACATCTTTGAAGCGCTAGAGGGGATGCGTGGAGAAGTGACACCTATTATTGTTTCTACCATTACCAGCAAACATTTATTGAGCTCCAACTGTGCACACAGACACCGTGACACGTGATTTGCCTACGCGACCTCACTTCGTCTTCACTGCCCTATGGGTGAGGTTCAGCGTGCCCTGCCCGCTACCACACGCGCTTCTGTGCTTCCAACTCAGGCCGGGCGAGAAGCTGTGACGCTGGAGTCACATCGGTCGATCTACGGTTTTCCCGGCACGTCAAACGGCAGGTGCACACAGCACACGCAAACACAGCGGAGCGCGGCTGCAAGAAACACGGTAGGGTACACAGCGCATACTGGCCAACGTTCTTCCTCTGGCCACCGTCTCTGCCTCCAAAGCGACAATTCCAATTTTCCCCTCCCTAACTCGGCAGACTCCCCCCCCTTCCCTCCTCCCTCCCACATCAAGCTACGTGGCTCTTTTAGCATTTACTGAGGCATCGCTCTGCGATGGATTCGATGTCTTTTTAAAAATTGTGCTAGCATTTTAAATAGGACTGTGATAGCTTCTGTCAGTCCTCAGTTAAAAATGGCAAGGTTTGGGTTTTGCCTGTCCCTCACTCTAGTTTTCCCATAAGCCCTGCTATTTTGAGAGCATCATTGTGCAAAGACGAGATTTTTCAGGGAGGGATATATATAGATCTACGGCCAAAATGTCTATCCTATTATTATGTCCCTTTCACATGTGAGGCAAGAGAGCCTGAACGAGTGAACGGTCCTGCCTGGGTTTACACAGCTGGTGGGTGGCAGACGGAAGGCCTTCCCCATCCTGACCTCCCCTCCACCCTGCCGTTCACCAGGACTTAACCGACTCAGGCCCCCGGAAGTAGTGGAGAGGCTTAGAGTGAGGAACCCAGGAGCACAAGCCTTGGAATGAGACAGATTTGGGTGCAAATCCTTGTGGCACCTCAGAGCCTCAGCTTCCCCTTCTGTACAATGGGGATGACAGCGTGTCATCCTCCTGGATGTTGAGGGGATAAAAAGATAGACCGTACATAAACGGGTTGAGCAATGGGTCTGCCACTTGGCTGATGCTCAGCATTTTCCAGGTCTCCAGAAGGCCACATCTTCTGCCCCCTCACATTGCTTCACTCCGCCCCTTCTGCCTGACCGCCCTCTCACTGGCTCCTGAAAAGCCCCAGCCCATCCTTGTCACCAAAACCCAGCCTCATTTCAAGGCCCCATCTCCCTGATTTTTACAGTTAGAATTCGTTTCTCCCTCCCTAGATCTCAAGGCTCCGTCATCCTTCACCCCGTATTTAAGCTACTCGAGACAGTGTCTGCTTCCGTAACCAGCTTGAGACTCCCCAGAGCCATTCCCTGCTGGCCAACCCTATAGTCGCTGGCCATACGTGACTATTTAAATGTCTGTTTCAGTTCTCCAAAATTCATGTTGCAGTAGCCACATTCCAAGTGCTGGTGGCCACGTGTGGCCATTTTGGACAGCAAGGGTTTATAGAACATGCTCATCACTGAAGAAAGCTCCATGGGACCGCAGCCCTGGACTGTAGGGCTATCTCTCAGCCCCACCCCCGGTATCCGCCATATTGCCCGGCACCGGGGACCCCCTGCCCTGAGGTCTTCATGTAAGTGCCTCTTCTTTCTTCCGCCTCAGGTCTCAGTTCCAACGTCCTCTCCTCCGAGGCTCCTTCCCTGGCCAACCTCTAGCAATTAACGTTTTTCTTTCATTTCCTTTTTAAGTTGTCATAAAATACATGTCACATAAGATTGACCATTGTAACCATCTTAAGTGGATACTTTGATGGCATTAGTACCTTCACACTGTTGTGCAATCATCACTCCCATCCGTCTCTATTATTTTGCCTCAGCCCAAAATGAAACTCTGCACCCATCCAACACTGACCGTCCATCCCCTCCCCCATCCCTCGTAACCACTGTTCTACTTCCTGTCTCCGTGAACCTGACCGCCTTAGTAGCCCATGTCCGTGTCTGTCTTGACCCAATGCCCTGTTTTATTTTCACGAAAGCGCTTAGAACCCTCGGAAATGATCTTATTGCTGGATCGATTCCTTCAGCAGTCATTCTGTCTGTTTTGTTCACAGCTGCATCCACAGTGCCTGCCAAAGTGCATATCCCGCCTCAGTAAATATTTACGAAAAGTGCCAGTGCCGAGCTGGTCCACACGAGGTCGAGTCCTAGACAACAGAGCAGGTCTGGGGGAAATCTCAGAGCTGGAAGCGGTTATGCCCTGAAGTCCCAGGTTCCACCCTGATGCAGGGGCAAGGTGCTTCCTCTTTCTAGACCTCTTCTGTGAAACTAGGGGGTTGGGCTAGGCCGTCTAGAAGGAACCTCTGAGCACTGTCTTCCTTTGATTCTGAAAGATCACATGGCTTCTCCTCCACGTTCCCAGCCACAGCTTTTAGGTGCACGGAGACAGAATGGTACTGGGAGATGGACCAAGGTGTCCCGTCTTCCAGGTCGCTTAGGGTCAGGTGTGTGAATGGATGTGCTTGCCTACCTACTAAGCACCACTGACACGGGAGGCTTTCAAAAGCCACGTATATCCCTCCTCAGCTGTGACATCTTACGCCCTTTATGGCACGCAAACTAAAGAAGTGGTTCCTGATCAGGGGAGGAGGCAGGAATCTGAACATCCCTTCTGTGTTGGCTCTCCTAGGAAGCAGAACGTCTGTGTCTGTGCATTTCCTGCTTCAAAAAAAAAAAAAAAGTAGGGGGCTCCTGGGTGGCTCAGTCGGTTAAGCGTCCGACTTCGGCTCAGGTCATGATCTCGTGGTTTGTGAGTTCGAGCCCCACGTTGGGCTCTGTGCTGATGGCTCAGGGCCTGGAGCCTGTTTCAGATTCTGTGTCTCCCTCTCTCTCTGCCCCTCCCCCACTCATGCTCTGTCTCTCTCTCTCAAAAAAAAAAAAAAAATAAACATAAAAAAAGTAAAACAAAACAAAACAAAAAAAGTAAGAAACACACTGATTTAGTTTGGCAACAAGAAAGAGTCTCCGTTTCCCTTGCAATCAGAGATGAGGAGAAAAAAAATAAGAACAAACACTTAGAAAGAAATACAATCACATTAAAAAAAAATGCGATGAAACTCCAAGGGTTGGTTTTAAAGAACATTTTGGGGAGGGGTTACTTGTTTTATTTTGGTTGTCCTTCTTAGACAAAAATAAAGTCTCTATGTGCTGTTACGTTTTGTAATGGATAAAAAAATAACTGGAAGAAACCCTGGGGCAGGAATTCTAGTCCCCCCTGGCCACAGATGAGAGAAATCTCAGCTCTGCTGAACTCTACTCTCCCAGGGAGCCCTCCCCTAAGACAGGATGGAGGCATTAGGCGAAGGAAGGGCCAGAGGCAAAAAGCCACACGCACTTGTCTCTGCCATGGGCTGCAGACCGTGCGAGGCCAGCCGAGGCCTTGGGTCTGGACTGTGGCATCGTCTCCACGTTGCACAAGTCTGAAGCTGCTGGGAGCCAGGCCACCTGAGCTACAGATCTGCGAGAATGGCATGCCTGCCACTCCCCAGTCCGCCCCCCAGATCCTCAGTCAGGCCCCCTGGGCCGCCTTCTGGTTTGTGCCCTTACCTCGGGTCATCAGGAAACGTGTCAGCAAGAACAAAGTCGGTCTGAGAAATCTGCACCATGCTCTAACGGCACAGGTCACCTCACCCCAACCTTCCAATCTCCTCGCTTCACTTGTGACTCCTACTCTGCCAGTGAAGAACTGGAGGCCCAGAACGTCAAGGACCTTGGCCACAGCTAGTAGGTGGCAGAGTGGGGTCAGCCCAGGCAGGCGGGCTCCAGCGCCCTCACCCTTAACCGAGTGAGGGAGGGCCCGGGGAGCAGGGACCAGCCATGTGCCGCAGCTCATGGGGAGCCTAGCTGTGGCCCAGGGCTCCCAACCTCTCTTGGCCCTGATGGAGGCGAGCAGGACAGGGCAGAAGAGGGCGGCTTCCCTGTCCCCGCTCTGTGAAGCCACGTAGGGGAATTCAGACACACTTGGGTTCTCACCCACTTCCCCAACTGATTAACAGTAAGACCTTGTGAAACTCTTTTAATCTCTCTGAGCCTCAGTCTCCTCATCTGTAAAACAGGGGCTATGATCCCTGTTTCGCTTTCCTCGAAGAATTTCTATGAAGGTGGATGTAACAAGTCTAGGGAAGTGAGCTGTAAACTGCGAGGATATGCCCTTGCTACTCAACTTGAGGCCGGGGGACCAGGCCTCCCCGAGAGCTTATTTGAAAGGCAGAATTACTGACTCAGCATCTGCATTTTTATGAACCCCCCAGGTAATATGCAAGCGTGCTGCAGCTCTAGGAGGCCCCGGTTGGTGAGGGAGACAGTCCTTGGAGGTTTTGGACCCTTGTGAGGTCTGGTAACTTCTGGGGAGGGTGGAGACCAACGGGAAGGGAAGGCGTGAGAGAGGCAGCTGCAGGGAGCTTGGAGTCCACACCCCTGCTGGGGATGCTCCCTGCTCATCGACACCCCTTGTGTCTGCTCTGTCACTTAGTTCCTCACCTACGGAGGAAGCCTCCCCGTCCCGACAGTGTGGTCCCCTCCCTGAACTTGCCCTGCCAGGAAGCAGCTCTAAACACGAGTGTCAAGTTAAACCACCGAGGCCCCAAACCATCTAGCTCAGCCAACCTACCCTTTTTCAAATACACAGCCGGAGAGTCCGGAGTCCCATTCCTCACTGTCACCTGGCACCTAAGACTCCCGAAGCCGGTGGCCTCTGAGTTCCCCAGGGTGTCTTGATGCTGGAGATGGAAAGAGGATGCATTATTATCCAGAGATGGTCACTGCAGTTCCACAAACATTCACCAAACTCTGACCGTGGCTAGGCGCTGGGGCTGCAAAGGTACAAATAGAAGATTCCTGCCCGTTAGTCTCTCCCCATCTATTGGAGCACACCGACGCGGAAGCAGAAAACTCCGGCCCAGAGTGTTAGCTGCAAAGACACATGTAAGTCAAGAGGAGGTGATTACAGAAGCGGGAACGAGTAATTCTCCTGAGAAAGGAGAGCTTGAAAACTTTCCCAGAACAAAAGTGAATCTGGGTGGGGTACTGACGTATGAGTAAGAGTTCATCAGTTGGAAATAAAAGAAGGGGGTTTTAAGCAAAGTAAGAGGCAGAAGTGACGACAAAGAATTCTGTGGTGTTTTGGGGCTCCTGGTGGCTCTGTCGGTTAAGCCTCTGACTTCAGCTCAGGTCATGATCTCACGGTCTGGGAGTTCGAGCCCCGTGTGGGGCTCTGTGGGGACAGCTCGGAACCTGGAGCCTGCTTCCGATTCTGCGTCTCCTTCTCTGTCTGCCCCTCCCCCATTTGTGCTCTGTCTCTCTCTACTCAAAAATAAATAAACGTTATAAATAAATAAATAAATAAATAAATAAATAAATAAATAAATAAAATTCTGTGGTGTTTTGAGGACTAGAGCCTGTGGTTCTTAGAGACTGTCAATCTCGAGAGGCAGAGTGGCAGGAGAGGACGGACGCAGAAGCATCCTTATGGGCACAGCTCACGTCCAGTGAGGATCAAGGGAAGGTCTGTAAGCTTGGAAATGAGGTCAGACGTCCAAACGCCTTGCCATTCTCGCTAATCTCGGATCCCTCTTTCTGCCTGTTTCCAGAACTTCTGCTGGGGCTGGGGGGGGGGGCAGGATAAATCTGTTTTCATCAATTTGTGGTTTTTTCCCAGGGTTCTGCCCCCCTCTCAGAGTTGCCTGAGTTTCCTGGCTGTGCGGTGGAGGGATGATGGCCTGGGGAGGGGAGCAGGGTCCCCGAGAGGGAAAGGGCCCTGCACTCCTGAGAAGGGTGTGGGTGGCAGGTCCCAGACTGCAGGGCCCCCCGCCCCTGGAGGCGGTGGGGCGAGTGTGAGCTGGATGATACACCTGCAGCCTAGACCCAAACAAGAGGCTCCTGCCTTGATAAAGGGTCCCTTGCACACCCCACACCTAACCCAGACACAAGGCTCCGAGGAGCCTGGCCCTGTGGCTGCAACACTGGGCAGCGTAGACCGGCCAGGTCACTCCCCATCAATGATGACACCTGACCCCGTGTCTCAGGACAGCACCGAGAGCCCCGGGGCCCTGCAGGGGAGCCTGGAACGGCTGAGATGGCATTTCTTGCCTGCCTGTTAACAATACTAACAGCGGTGGTGACAGCTATTACGGTCACTGAGCTCTTACTCTGCAGCAGAAACTGTCGTGTGAGCTTCTCCACGTAGGACTTTACTCAATCCTCGCGATAACTGGGGTGCCATTACCACCCTGCATCATAGGTGAGGGCTCCGAGGAACCAAGGGGTGAAGGGCAGGAAGTCAGCAGTGGGGCTGGGACCCAAACCCGGGCAGCCAAGCTCCAGGGCCACCTCCTAATAACACTCCCTGCAAGAGGCTGTCTCTCGTGGGCTAAGGAGTTGGGGGGAGAGTGCATTCCTTTTTGGCTTTGTTAGTTTTATTTTTTAATGAGGAAGTGTTTTATTTCTTATTGACTAAAATCTATACTTGTCAGGGCATCGGAGGATCCAACGACTGACACTCTCCTACTCTGGCTCAGAGGAATGCGAGGTGCTTAGTAAGCACTCAATAGATGCTATCAGCTATCTTTTGCTATCACTAATAATTCTGCACGCCGGGTCTGATCCCTGAGGGAGAGAGGAGTAGAATCTCCTTAGATCAGAGATGCCCAGGGACCTGGCAGCTAGCTGCCCAGGGAGCACCGTCACTGACTGTGACCTCAGGCCCCTCGACTACCAAGCGTCTCTGGGAGGTGTGGACAGAGGTGTCCCATTAGTAGGGTCACTTTGACTCGGACCAGCCAAGGTGAAGGGACAGCACTTGGAAGCCCCAGACAGCAATTAAATGCAGCCAGTCTGTACTGTCCCACAGCGTTAATGCCAGCGGGTCCTGGCCGACTATCACCAGTGTCCCAGTCTATCCTCCCTCCCCGCCCACCGCCCCCATGTCCCCCTGATACATCTGAAGGCAGGTCTGGGCCATGGTAGTGAAAAAAATAATAAAGTCACGGCCATCCTCCCCAACATGCTTTGACCTTTAAACTCAAGGGATTTAACGTTGCCTCCACTGCTGTGTGTTTTGTGTTAGCTTCTCGAATCCTCACCAGAAGCTTGCGAGGTCAAGCCTCCATGTTATAGATAAAGAGTTTGAGGTGAGGAACGTGCACGTGGTCTGACAGCCCCAAACGGACAAGGTTTGGGATTCAGTCTAAGACCCCTACCTGCCTCCTCTCTAGATCCTGCAGATATAGACCTGGCTGGAATCCTAAAATTCAGGGGTCCACCTTCCAAGCCCCTTCCTGCGATGTTGCTTATGAACACACACTCACACACCTGCACAGGTGCATGTGCTAAGGGCAGGCAATCCACCCGTGTCAGTGATGTCACAGAACTGCTAACAAATCGACATGCCCTTTAAAAATGTGAAATGAATTATGTGCATCCACAGAATGGACTGGTAGGCTGCCATTAAAAAGAACAAGGTTCATTTTAAAGATGGAGAAAGTTAAACATTATGTGAGAAAACCAAGGTAGAAAAGAAGATGTAGTGTAAGATATTAACACGTAAGCAAACACAACAAGATGCTCATAAACATATAGAAATTTTCTGGAAGTTTCCATGAAAAACTGGGCAGTAAAAATGGAGATTTGCATGTGGTTCGGAGCTAGCGTACCCTTCGGTCCTAATTCACAGTGACGGTGAAATTGCCAGCTTTGACCTATAGACACAGCAATTTCATGTGGTTCTAACTAATATTTAACATTTTTCTTTCTTAAGCTATAATCATATTTTACTTCTACAATGGAAAGGAATGCTGGGGTCCGGGACTCAGAGAGACAGGTGGGACTTAGGGCTCTGGACAACGTCCCTTCACGCCCAGTGCCCAAGCTGCCAGTGGGTAACAGAAGGGAGTGCTCATTGACAATCCCTCTGACCCATTTGTTAGGAAACGATTCTGCTCAGACGGACACTCCTCGGGACAGCTTCATCCTGAGCCATCACTGGTCCACTGGGGTATTTTTCCCAAGTCTCATCACTTTGAAGAAATGGACGCAACACGGGGTCGGCTGCTGGCAGTCTCATTCCACCACCTGACCAGCCTGGTGTCCACTCAATCAGAGCATGTCTGACACAGAAAGGGCGAGACGCAGAACCCCCACACAGCTGCCATGCCTCACCTGAGCAGACGCTGTGCAGGCCATGTGGTTATTTGTCCAAGCATAGAAATCACACAAGACTTCTGATCCCGCTGTGGACACTGCAAGGAGGCTGCAGGCTTCATCCAGCGCACAGTCTGCAAGCACCATGGGACAGTCAGTGTGCCTGTCTCTCTCAGGTGATGCTGAGGGCAGGTGGACACATACACCCCCCCCCACTGCCCCCAACACACCCAAACACACACACACACACACACACACACACACACACACACACACACTCATCCGTAACATGGATTTCAATGACCTTCAGAGACTGTAGGGTTATGAGATAATCCTTGTAAACATACATGCTCGATAAATATCATTGCTGTTATCACCCTTTTCTGGCCATGACATTGGTACAGACAGACAGCTCTCCTGACCCAGACAAATAACTCTACAAGGAACCGATGTCCATCATTTCTGCTCCCTTACATTTAGCACAGCAATGTTCTCAGTACGTAGTATATGCATTATGAACTCTGAGGTGAAACTATGAATTGAATATACACTTGGGGAATTGACCCATTTACCAAATGTTTTGAGAAAGTGTATTTTCTCATTACAGTTTCAGTGGTTTTATTTGATTTGTCTTTCCCAGGTCAGCACAGAGTATTTTCCCACACGCCCGGCTCCCCAGCACCCCTTACCTGTCAAGCATTGTGTCAGTGGAGACCCAGAACCAGGGACTCTGGACCTGCCCGCCACAGTGACATCCGCACGGAAGGTCACCTTAGAGTCTGGAGCCTTCTCAAATTTCTGCATCACTGAAAGAAAAGCAGAATGATGACATTGGACTCTGAAAGGCAGAAGGCTTCTCTACAGAGAAGCCAGGAAGAATGCCAGGCCAAGAAATCACGTCTATGTGTCTGTCTCATTCACAGTGCTTGGTCACACAAATGTCCCTAGGAGAGGAATTCCCTTTTAAAATAGTTCCAGCATGCTGCCTCATATCTGATGCAGAAAGCTATGTATTTTCATGTCTCCTTTTGCAACCTCATTGTCAGGAGGTAAGGAGAAATTTTAATATTATGCTAGTCCTTACCACTCATTTTTTTTCCTCACTGATGGTGATTTTTCTATCTAAATTTATATTTTCGTGTCTTGATCTTTGAGTGAAAATTTTCTTATAATTATGCTGTTGAAAGTTTTCCTTCCAGAAAACAATGTTTACTTCTTTCTGGAAAGAGGTAAGTTATCTTTTTTTTTTAATGTTTGTTTATTTTTGAGAGAGACAGAGACAGAATACGAGTGGGTTAGGGGCAGAAAGAGAGGGAGACACAGAATCCAAAGCAGGCTCCAGGCTCCGAGCTTTCAGCACAGAGCCCGACACGGGGCTCGAACCCATGAAGTGCGAGATCATGACCTGAGCCGAAGTCGGACGCTCAACCGACTGAACTACCCAGGAGCCCCAGAGGTAAGTTATCTTTTAAAAGACAAATAAAACAGGCACATGTGGGTTCATGTAAATCTGAAGACGTGACACGTGGCTCAGGCGTTTTCATGATAGTAGGTGTTTAAGTAACATACTAGCATCTGTTTTTCTAGCTACCATCAACACGCCTGAATTCTCCACTAGGAATGACACAGCCACATGCTCCTGGAGCTAAACAGGGGAGAAGAAATAAATATAAGATCTCAAGGCGATGAGACGCGGAACTCATTCTTGACCCAGCAAAAAAGCACTGCAGATAACCCTCCGGGAATGAGACTCATTTCCAAAACCAAAAATGCCCAGAGGTGTCAGCGTTTTGCAAATAACTCTCAGAAACCAAGCCTCAAAGTAGACCAGTATTAATTTTTTGCAGACATAATTCTAAACGTACAAGAACACCCATTCTCCTACTTATCTGTTGCTTTATAAAACAGACCTGTGTCTAGATGGGTTTTTATCACGTCAATAAATTCAAGACCACCCAGCCACCTTTTTTCCGTTTTCGTAATAAATGCAGGGAAAAAAAAAGTTTATTGCTTTTGGGATAAAGTCGGGAGAAGGGGATGCTAATATAAGAGACACAGCAGGCTTTAAACCTTCACAAATTCTGATGCAGAAAATAATTCTGATTTTACAAGGTAGTCCTTCCGTGTTGATCACTCAAGTTGCCAAGTTCATGTGCTTGGCCCGTAGTCAACTCTTCTGCTCTCCTCTCTTTCTCTCTTTTGTCTGTGTTTACACCCCTTGGTTATCTTGTTTGTAGAGACTGCAGGCTCCGGTCCAGCAAACACCACACAATATTCAGCCCTTTGTCCCTCAGGTGTAACTGGCACGGACGGATACTCCCGACATTGCAGGAGACTAAACAAAATTTGACGGGTCTCTCAATTTCCAGCTGAAGTCTTCCCAGAGGCTGAAAACGCAGTCACTTTAGCACTCCAGTTAGACAATCTGCTGGCTTCCACAAAAGGGACCCTTCAGGGATGAAGGTCTCTTCACGCTAGAGAATTCGGTGAGGAAGCTCATTGCCAAACAGAACAGAAACAATCCATGCACGAAGTTGCCAATAATTCCATAGAATACGGAGTTAGCTGGCAAATTTTTAGCCATTCTATTGGTACAATTTCCCACCTGCCAAGTTTTGACTTAGCAGATATTTACAAATGTCTTGGAAAGCATAGAGGGTCAACACGAGAGCCATTATATGTGATCATGGCTACGCGTCTGTCTCTTTCCAAGACAAGGACAATGTTCTGGGAGTACGTGAACACCTACTACCTGAGCCTGTGACAGAAACATGAGTTTCTTGTTTATTGGGTGGATGCGTTGATGAACAGATGACTGCCAAGACCACCGCAACGCCCGAAAACCTGGAGAGAACCCTATGGAGACGACACCACCCCAACAGCAGCTGATACCTCTGGGCACCTGACGTGCGATATGGAACCTTTGGTGCGGGTCAATGAAAAGCAGAATTAGAAAACGGGGTCTAGAATTAAAGGAAGGGGAGCTTACAATATTTCCAGGGGCCAAGGTCAGAGAGTAAACCACTAACTCTGTAGGTAAACAAAGGGTTTGCCGCAGGCAGTATAGAGAAGATGGAGGGGACCGCCAGGAAGAGACCAGGCAGGCAGTGCTGGCTCTGGAGTCAGCCCCCATCCAAGTCCTTTCGCCACCACCCCTCATCGGCCCTGTGTCCTGGGGCACATTTCAATCTCTGAGAGCCCGGTTGTGTGGTTGTAGGGATTAAATAGAAGAATGTGGAAAACCTGGTATATAACAATTCAGTAAGTGACAAGTCCCTTTGGCCGGGCGACCCCCCCCCACCCCCCCGACAAGGACACCTGCCTAAGTGCCAGGGCTTGTGAAACTGGCTACAGGACTTCTGGTGGCAGGAGAGTCCCCTTCCCTGATCACATTTAGGAAGGAATTTCAAACAGGCCCAGATAATAACAGCAATTCATTCATTCTGTCAACAAGCACCAGCCACTCTGGAATAGAACGAAAAGGTACCACTCTAGCCCCAAAGGATGATATTATCTGAATATCCGATGATATTATACTATCCAAAGGAGGCTAGAATCCGGAGAGGAGAGTGAGGTATGCAATTTTATTTTACTCCGAGAGCAATGCAGAACCACTGAAAGGTGGTGAAGGGCATTGCATAAACCGAATTGCCTTTTATTTTTATTCTTCTTAATGTTTATTTAATCTTGAGAGAGAGAGAGACAGAGCGCCGCAGAGAGGGAGGGAGAGAGGAGATCCAGAGTGGGCTGTGTTGACAGGAGACAGCCCAATGTGGGTGGGGCTCAAACCCACGAACCACGAGATCATGACCTGAGCCGAAGTCGGACGCTTGGCTGACTGAGCCACTCAGGTGCCCCCAGAATTGCCTTTTGGAATAATTGTTGCGAAGCACTGCAGAAAAAGGGCTGTGGGGGGGCCACCCTGGGGCAAGAGGACAAGGTAGGGGAGGTGACAGTATAATCCCTATGGGGGGAAACCCAGGCCCGGACAAAGCGGGTGGAAAGGCCACCAGTCTCCCCCAGGGACACAGCTGACCTCTATACCCTTTGCTTTTTTTCTGGAAGATAAATGCCTCAAAATTAGGACTGCAATTTCACTCTCAAAGAGGAAGCTCCCGTCAAAAGCAAACCGATTGGATTCCTAGAAGAGGCTTTTGACATGCCAGTGGGGACCCAGCTTAACATGGAAATCCTTCTGAAAATCCAGAGAGGGAGCAGTAAACTCCCTCCGAGCTTTGCATAAGAAGCCCGAGACTCCGAGACTCCAAGGTCCAATCTGGAGGCTATTCATCAGCCAGAGCCTCGGGGAGGCATCATGGAAGCTGGCAAGGCTAAGCTCTTACTCATTAACGCTTCTGGTGCTACTGATGACACTGTCCTTTCTGCTCTGGGGGGGGGGGGGGTACTCCGGGCTGAACAAAGCATCTAAGGCTTTGCAAAATGCAGATTACAATCCTGGCAGCTGAGGCGGTGACAGGGAAGCAAAGAGGAGGGGAGTGAAAATGCAAGCACTCCTGTGCTAATCCCAGATGGCCCAGAGTCGCCTGGGCCTAGCAAACGGCTCTCCCCGCCTCTCCCTCATTTGTGATGGGCAGGTAAGATCGGCCTGCCTTGTGGCCTAAGGCACCTTCCAGCTTTAACTCCCCTGATTGCAGTTTTCGCCCAAGAAAAGGAATATTGGAAAAAATAATTAGACTCTCCTTGGATTTGCAGTTTATCCACAGGGACACACACACACACACACACACACACACACACACACACACACACACAAGTCCTTGAGAATCTTTAGCGCTTTGCCAGAGAAGGAAATGATTGTTCTGAGCGTTAGAAAATGAAAATGTCTCAGGACGCCCGGGTGGCGCAGTCGGTTAAGCGTCCGACTCCTGGTTGCGGCTCAGGTCCCGATCTCACAGCTCGTGAGTTCGAGCCCCACGTCCGGCTCTGCACTGACAGTGCGGAGCCTGCTTGAGATTCTCTCTCCATCCCTCTCTTTCTCTCTCACTCACTCTCCCAAAAAATAAACATTAAAAAAGAAAATGAAAATGTCCCTCTTGGATTTTCTCGAGTGTTGTATGTGATTCACTGCACCCACTTCCCTAGAGAGCAGATAGGCTACGTGTGCAAGTGTGCGCGTGTGAGGCGTGTGTACAAGTGTGCGTGTGCATGTGTGCAGGTGTGTGCTTAATGAGGAAGCAGCTAAATCCAGGTAGAAGCAGATCAGTGTCATGGAAAAAACGGGTTTGGGGGTCAGGTACACGCTGGCTCGCGGGCCAGGGATGTTATATCCTGACTAATAAGTCGCTTAGACATTCACACCTCTGTTTCCTCAGCTAAATAATTGGGGATAATAATATCTACCCCTCAGACCCACTGTGAAGTTCACCCATGACTGCCTGTCTAAAATTTCCGCAAGGGGGCCTGGCACGTAGTAAGTCTGTGCACATCAGGCCCTCGCCTCACACGGAAACCTGAGAGACCCCGGCCACCGGCACCGGCTCCGCCTGGTCAAGGTTACAAAGGTAAGCCAGACCCCAGGCAGGAAGGCGACTCTATGGAAAGGTAGGGCAGGGTCCTGAAGACTTAGGTCAGAATTAAAGGCACTTACAGGCTGTCTCCACCTGCTCCTTGATTAACCTGAATCTCCTCCTTGTCCTGAAACATTTATTACCTCTTCCTGTCATGTCACCCCTAACACACCGACCCCCCTGCAAGGCAGGCATTAACAGCCCCATTCAGCAGATGAGGAAACTCTTGAAGGTGAGTGGCTTGCTCAGACGACATAGCTAATGGAGGGCACCATTGAGATTAAACTAGTCCTGACCCCACTCCCATCCCACCGAGCGCTCTACGACAGGTATCGATCGGTTCACCCAGGACTTTCCCACCCATCACCTCGTTGAAGAGCTGTGCCCGGCACAGGGTGGGGCTCAGTGGAGGCTGGTTGTCCTCCTAGGATGGTTTTGTTGACCCTGACAGTGTCCCAGGCGGCAGGCAGGAGGCTGCTGGGGTGACTGAGGATCAGAGAGAGGTTGAGCAATTTGCTCTGGGTCACCCAGCAGGTAAGTTACAGAATCGGGACCGGCACTCAGGTCTTCCTACAACATCCAGCTGAGAGAGAAAAGCTGACCAGCTTTGCAGAGGCACAGCACCCACAGGAAAAGGAAACTCAGCTCGTGAATTATTTTAAAATTCATGGCTCACACACACTGAAGTATTTAGGGGTGAGGTTGCATGATGTCTGAAATTTGCTTTCCAAGGATCAAAAATAGAGAGGGAGAGAAAGAAAGAAAAAGGAAGTGGAAAATGCTAACTTTTTTGGATCTAGGTGACAGGTATTTATTTATTCATCTTACTATTCTTTCAACTCCCACGTAGATTAAAAATTTGCAAAATAAAATGTTGGAGACAAATGCATCTCCTACTTCTCTCCCTTTCTAGAAAGCCCTTGAGAGCACATGCCCTCTCCCCAGGTACGTGGCTGATATAACTCCCAGCACATACTCAGACACTGGGATTCCGAGAGTGGGGCCTCCGTTTCCGACCACAGCAGCCTCCGTCCCTCGCTGTCCACGCAGAAGGCCTTCCCGCTGCCCCTGTCCCTCTGGCTGGCTCGGTACTGGCCGTCCTGGTCGCACTGCAAGCCCGCCTCACTCTTCTGACAGTCAGTGACACCTGAAACGGAGAGACAGATGTACCATCACCGACGTGCTTCTGGGACCCCTGCCCTCGGGGCCCCCAGACTGCCTGTCGTTGACATCGCATGTCCAAGTGACGGATGCAGACACCCTCCAGCGTCAAACTCTTCAGGGTTCCCACCCTTTGGTCAAAGGATCTTGTCCAGGCCCCCTGTTGGGCCACTAAGACCCTGCGATCTGGCTCCACCTGTCTCACTCCACGCGCTCTGTGTCTCCACAGGGCACACGGCATTCAGTGCCCGGGGCACTCCCTCTTGCGGATACCGAACACCATATCCCAAACACAGGCTCTGCTCCCGGGGCTCCACCTCCTGGTGCTCGTTCTCCTCCAGCTTCAATGGGATACCCCTTCACTGCCTATCAGCCCTCCCCTCAATCCTCACTTCCTCAGGGAAGCCCCAGGCTTCCGATATCCGACCGTTACACACTCCCATCCACCCACACCTCTCCTCGCTGCTGGACCGTGGTTATTATTTCCATCTGTCTGTGTGAATGAACTATCCGCCTCCCCCTCAGTAGAAGCTCCAGGCCGGCAGGGACCTGATCTGGTTTTGTTCCTTATTGGATCCCAGTGCCTTGCTCAGGGTCTGACATAGGACATGAGCTCCCGCACTGTAATACCGGGATTTGTAGTAAGAAATATATATTTGGCCTTCCTCTCGTTTCTGGCACAAAGCCCCTTAAATCTCCTGGCATTTCCTAAGTGGTGAAAGCGATAAAGGTGTCTTTTGTTACAGTATAGAGGTCACTTTGGGATGGCTCTTAAGGATGGAGGCTGATTGCTAGGAGAAGCAACTATGTGATTACGGCACTGAAGCTTTCGGTCCCTCTCCCTGACCTCCAATCACCAACGGCCAATGATTTAATCAAGCTCACCTATGTAATGGAACGTCCATAAAACCCCAAAAGGATGGGGCTCTGAGAGCTTCCGGGTTGGTGAACACGTGAGAGGTGGGGGAGAGCGGTGCACCTGGAGAGGCATGGGAGCTCCGCCCCTTCCCCCCCCCCCGCCCCCCGACCATGTCCCGTGCATCTCTTACCTGTCTGTTCCTCGGTTATATCCTGTTATAACAAACTGGTAATTTCGGTGAGTTCTGGGAGGCGCTCTAGCAAATTAGTCACACCCAAGGAGGAGGCCATGGGAACCTCTGACTTAGAGTCAGCTGGTCGGAAGTACAGGTAACAATCTAGACATAGGACCGGTGCCCGAGGGGGTTGTTGGAACGTCCAGTGTGTAACTTGTTCCTCAGAAGCACAGGTAGTAACCTGGGCTTTCGACTGGGGATGGGGGCAGTGGGGTCTCAACCTGTGGGATCTGGTACTGTCTCTGAGAGGATCATGTCCAGATTGCTTATTGCTGGTCTGGGGAAACTACCCCCTACACACACACACACACACACACACACACACACACACACACTGGAATTGGGTACCGGAACCTCCTCCAAACAACCCAGTCAATAAATACTACCTGAATCCATGGATGAATACCTCTATTCCTAACCTTCAGCTATTTCTTCTGCCCAGAAGCCCCTTCTCCACCTGCCCCATGGCTAATGCCCGCTTGTCCTTCAAGATGCAGTGCTAGCTACGACAAGATCATATAACATACATGTCCATTATATTATTAATTACACACATCATATTATTAATCAAACGTTATGTTCTTTTCCTATCAGACTCTAAACTCCCTGAGGACAAGGAAATTACCATCACTTGTCTCCTATATACCCAGTAAAAAAACTTGGCACAAAAAAGAGTGCTTAATACATTTTTGATGAATGATACCGAAAGAGAATGTCTTGACATGGTTCTCCAGGGCTGGGAAGTAGGTTCAAAAATGTTCTTTCATGGCAGCCCAGAGACTTGAGAACATCTAATTTTCTATATAGTAAGACTATTAGTTATAGCACTAACCATTGATTAGTTACAACATTTAGTAGAGAGATTACAAAGGCTACTTTAAAAATCTTTTTTTTAGGGGCGCCTGGGTGGCGCAGTCGGTTAAGCGTCCGACTTCAGCCAGGTCACGACCTCGCAGTCCGTGAGTTCGAGCCCCGCATCAGGCTCTGGGCTGATGGCTCAGAGCCTGGAGCCTGTTTCCGATTCTGTGTCTCCCTCTCTCTCTGCCCCTCCCCCATTCATGCTCTGTCTCTCTCTGTCCCCAAAAAAATAAATAAACGTTGAAAAAAAAAAAACAATAAAAAAATAAATAAATAAAAAGAGGAAGACACAGGAGATCCCTCACTCTGTATGTATGCACCAAGGAAAAGCCACGTGAGGACATAGCCAGGAAGAGGGCCCTCGCCAAGAACCTGACCATATTGGTACCTCGATCTTGGACTTCCTGCCTCCAGAACCATAAGAAATAAACGTTAGCTGCTGCCACCACCCGTCTATGGTAATTTGTATGTAGCAACTGGAACTAAGACATGGTTTATAAGCACCCTATGAGTGGGGTATCATCGGCCCCATCTAATTAATAAGGAAGTTGACATTCAGAGAAAGAAGGAGGCGTGGCCTTGGTCATAGTTCCAGGGCGGGGGCGGGAACCAACCTGGGTCTGGCTGGTGTCAAACTTCAGGTTTCTCCTCTGCTCTCTGTCATTTCTGTAGTGCCCCCCGCTCCCATAAACAAGGATCAACACATCGCATCGATCCCTTTGTAAGAAAGCCTTCCTCCAGCACTGTGATAACACTTCAATTCATCTCAAATCCATGGCTGAATCAATGCGTCCAAGCTGAGGGTGATGCCCAGACGTCAGGGACACTCTGCCTTCCTGGTGAAGAGTTTAATGTCTAGGAGCAATGTCAGACTCCTAGTCTATAAAATCCCTCTGGTTGTCTTAGAATTATCACACTATTACCACTTCTCTCCTAAAGAAACTGCCCTGGGGGTGCCTGGGGGGCTCAGTCGGTTGAGCGGCCGACCTCGGCTCAGGTCATGATCTCACGGTTCGTGGGTTCGAGTCCCGCGTCGGGCTCTGTGCTGACAGCTCAGAGCCTGGAGCCTGCTTCGGATTCTGTGTCTCTTTCTCTCTGCCCCTCCCTCTGCTTGCAGTCTGCCTCTCCCTCTCTCAAAAATAAATAAACATTTTTTTTAATTAAAAAAAAAAAAGAAAAGAAACTGCCCTTACCAGGGAAGTTGACTTGGTCTCTTTCAATTAATCATTTTAGAATTCTAAAATCTATTCAGATCTAAAACATTAATGGTTTGCTCCGCGTTGACACAGTTTCAGATGCACAACGAGGCGAGCTGTGCGCCCTTGCGAGGAAAAACCCAACAACACCTAGGTGACTATCACGTAGGCCGAGTGAAATCACATGACATATGGGAAGGCCACACGTACCGACGGTCCTGACAAAGTTATAGGGCCAGAAAGGGAATGTGAGCCACACAGTTATAATGACTGGTAATGACTGTGGGTGGAAAATTTCTTCCATTTCTCAATCTGATAAGCTTGGCTTACAAAAATCAGAAGTTTCAGAAGCAGACAATGCCAACATCAAAGGCCGGTTATGCCACTTACTAGGGGAGGGACTCTGGCTAAATTACTTCTCTGAGCCTTAGAGTTCTTATACGCAAAAGTTGGGCCAATAATATTTACACAGAAGGGGATTTGATAGGATTTAAGCCATCTGACCCAGATCCTGGCAGGGTACAGGCATACGGAGGTGGTGCCCCTTTGATCATTATGCTCTGCACCCACTGGGTCTCCACGGCCAGCAATTGTGTCCCCCTCCAAGAGACACTTGGCAACATCTGGAGACATGTTTGCTTGTCGTAACTGGGAGGGGATATGCTATCGGCATCTAGCAAGTAAGGGTCGGTGATGCTGCTAAATAAACATCCTGCCACACAGAACACGGTCCCCAGAATGAATTTTCTGTCCCCAGATTTCAACAGGGCCAAGGTTGAACCACCCTGCTGTGTCCCCATTGCATGGCAGGGACTCTCTTTCAAGCGGGGACCTGGCGACACTTACAGTGAGTGTGGCTGAAAGCTCCAGCAGAAACGGTCGTCCTGCCCCTGGGACATGGGACACAGGCCACGCTGCCTGCCTGTTCTTGGTAGAATCCGACGGGACAGGGGATGCAGATCTCCTCCTGAAAGTAACTTCCCTCAGGACACTTGACTGGAAAAGAGAAACAGAGAAATGATGTTAAAGAAAAGATTCTGGGGGCGCCTGGGGGGCTCAGTCGGTTGAGCGTCCGACCTCAGCTTAGGACATGATCTCACGGTTTGTGGGTCCCAGCCCCCCGTCGGGCTCTGTGCCAGCAGCTCAGAGCTTGGATCCTGCTTCAGAGTCTGTCTCCCTCTCTCTCTGCCCCTCCCCCACTCACACTCTGTCACTCAAAAATAAAATTAAAATGTTAAAAAAACTTTTTAAGGAAACAAAGAAGAGATTCTGGCTTTACAGGTGTCACCTCGGAACACACAGGCCATGTGAAATCCCAGCAGCAGGACAAAAGCTCACTCACTGAACAAGTGCCCAGTGAGAATCTGCAATGTGTCAGACCCTCAGAGTCGAGGGTAAGCTGTGGGAAGGGTAGACGAGGCTCTGGCCCTTCAGGAGCTGACGGGCTAGTAGGATAAGAGGCTGTCCGACGAGAACTTCAAATGTGGGTAAAGCGAGGCAGAAGAGGAGTGTACGTCAGTGAGGAAGGCCCTCTGAGAGGTGATGCTTGACACCAAATGATGGGGAGCACCCTGGGCAAAGAGCCAAAGAGTATTCAAAGCAGAGATGACAGCAAGTGCAAAAGTCCTGAGGCAGGAGTTCGGATTAGTCAAGGAACAGAACGAAAACAGCCAGACAAAGCCAGCAACTAAGCTAGACCTTAGCAGACAAAGGGAAGACTGGCCTGAGACGAGGTTTGGGAACAACTTGAAAGATGAGGGTCCATCGCTCAGTTGCCATGGGAATGCTGCCCTAACTGGAGGGCATGGTGGGGCGCAGCCTGGGGTGCAAGCTTGGGGGTTAGAAGGATTGGCTCAGGTCCCTCTCCCCGTGATACCTAAATGACTATGGACTTCCCGGAGGCTCCATTTTCTCCTCTGTGAAAGGTATTAATAATACGATCCCGTTGGAATGTAATGATGATCATAATGCCAGACTCATATACACTCAACAAATGGTCGCTATTTTGTTTTTCATTTTTAATTCCAGTGAGTTCACCTACAGTGTTATATTAGTTGCAGATGTACGATCTGGTGATTCAGCACGTCCCTGCATCACCTGGGGCTCATCATGGCATGTGCACTCCTTGATCCCCATCAACAATCTCCCCCACTCTCCCACCCATCATTATTTTTATACTCGAGGGAGTCCTTCCTTGACATCGGCCAGCCTCAATATCCACGCTGTCCAAACAGGGCAATTTCAACAATTCAGCACCCTCTCATTAGACTCATGCGGCCTCTCCCTGCCGGTTGGTCATCGATGGTGTTGCTCAGATCTGGGACCACGGTGAGGTGAGACACCCAGGGCACAGGATTCACGGAGGCCCTCGCTGTCGGGTTGTGGGGTTTCTGATTTACTCAGAAATACCAAGTATGACCCTGAGAGGGAGGCCTCCGTACATCACGCCCCCTGGAGGCCTCACTGGCCTCGTTCCTCGCCTCCCTGTGCTACCCTGTTAATCTGCAGATTCTCAGTGCTTTCTGCCCCCTCTGATTCTCACATTTCTAGTCCTTTCTCATCTGTTCCTCTACTACGATCTGGGCTGAGGAACCAGAAACCCCAACTAGAGAGACGCATATCTCCCAAGAGTTGTTAGGGTCCAGGAGCTCTAGCTTAGGAAAATGCGTAAGTTTGGCCACACTGATACTGATGGCTCAGAGAAGGGGTGGGGAGAAAAGAGGTTCTTGTTGCTTTCTTTCTTGGTTCTGGGCTGCGTTCCCAGGAGTTTGCCAAATGACTTCCAGAAGAAGCGAGCTGTTACCCAGTGAAGGCGAGAGCCGGAAGCCTGTCTGCTCTTGGGACCCCTTCTCTGGGCCCGGCACTCTGCTGTGGGCTTCATGGCCATAACCACAGCACACCCGTGAGTCGGTGTTTTACCCTCATGTCGCAGATGAGGAAGCTGAGCCTCGAGACATTCGTGCATGACTCCCTGGCATGCTTCATGCAAAGGGCTGTGGGGAGGTAAGGTAAAATTACACGTCACACCAAGCGTGGTGCCACGATCCTCTAAGAAAGGTACCATCCTCTTTCTAGACTGGAAAAAACTGAAGCTCAAGGTCAAAGTGGGCCGGGCGATAAGGTGAAAGAGGTGCATTTGAGCCCCCTTCCCTAAAAACCAAAGCCTTCTCTCCATCCGCCAGTTCGAGCACCTTCCCTCCACAAAAAAAGTGAGCGCGAACGTGTGGGACGTGGAGCCAATGTTGACTCAACCGCCATCTCTCTCTCACGCACACACGCCCGGCACGTCTGACTAAATCAGAAACTCAGGGCACATCTTGGAAACCGAACGGTGTGTTTTCCGGTCTGCCCCTGAGCAATTAACCCCCTCCCCCAGACAGTGGGGTTTCATTACTCCTATGAGTCAGGTCCCTGATCATCTCGAGTATTTTAAGCCGAGGACGCGGACTATTTTTTCAAGTGGTCTCCGAATTCATCGCTAAGGGAAAACAAAGCCTCTCCCACCGGTTCCAGCTGCCGGGCCTCCCAACCCGAGGGGTGGGTGGGGGGCAGAAGGAGAGAGCGGGGACTCACTTTCATTGTAAGCTCAGCCACTTGCAGGCCTCACGACGATGCTCGAGGAACCCGCGTCCTGCTTCTCTCTGCCTGTGCCGTCAAAGCCTTTCCACCCACGGGAACGCCGTGCTCAGGTCAGAGTGAGGCTCGATAGCCTCCCCCCTCCCCCGGCAGGCGTGGGCTCTCCAAGACCCCTCCGTCCACAGCAACAAGTTGGCACCCATCTTTCAATTAACTCCCTCCACGAAATCGTCAGAAACTCCTTTGGTCTCGGTGCCCTCCTTCATAAGAGGAGACAGTCTGGCCTACTGGAATTCGAGGGCTTCACCAAGCTTCCGGGTCAGGCCATCCCTCCAATCACCCTGTCCCCACGGGCCCCCAACCATGACAGCCATGCCTCTGCTGACGAAAAGTATCCGCGAGGAAGTGTAACAGCCCTTCACGCCCTCAGCTCGCTCCGCTCCACCCCGCGCCTGGCCCCGTCACTCTCCGGCCTGGAATTCTCCCCGGCACCCCCAGCAGGCCACCCCTGGCCGGCCCCGGCCTCTCCCTCCCTGGCTCCTGCCTCTCTCTCTGAGAGCCGCCATATCCCCACACACCCCACTCTCCAGCCATACAGACCACCGACTCTGTCATCATTCGGCCACAGCTTCGTGACTCCTTGCGCTAACCTCCACTTCCGGAATGCCCTTCCGCACGGTAGCACCCTCAGCACACAGGCACACACATGCACACGCGCACACGCATGCACACACAGACGCGTGCACACCCCACTCCTTGCCTGCTCTTCCCTGAGCAGCGATTCCGACGCACCTGGCATCCCAGCGAGCCTTCCCTGACCCGCCCGGACAGGGAGGGAGAAGCCTTTCTCACTGACACCTAGCTGGCTTTTCATTTCTCTCTCCCCACCTGGATTGTCAGTTCTTTGAGAGTGCAGTTCTGGCCTTTGCTTCCATGACTACGAAACCCGGGGCTTAACACCTAGGTATGCTTTGCAAGCTTCGATGGATGGATACCATAGATGGGAAGAAGGCAGGAAGAGGGAAGAAGGGAAGAGGAAGGAAACAAGACGTAACATGTTACTTCGGGGGGAAAAAACACCCATAGAGAAGGAGCTCTGTTCGAAGGACTTGTAGTGAATGAAAGTTAATGTGGTCCAGAATGGAGAACGGAAAACCTGGACAATTTCTCTGACATTCTCCTTACTGGACCAAACGGATATGGAAGTTGCCAGCAGGTAATTCTGAAGGGAAGCCGCGTGGTTGGCCTTGAGGCAAGAGGGGGGACATAACTGACCCCGTCGAAGCTGCAAACAGAGCCCAGGCCTCCTCTGCAGGATTTGTTCCCGGGGTAAGAGCCGCCAGGCCTGCGTGAGTCACAGGAGGTGGAGGCTCCCCACCCCCAGCCCCCACCAGCCCCCAGTCACTGCCCTCCGAGGGGATCATGCAGATTAGCCTTCCCCGGAAACGATACACAGAAACCCGGCTTCATCTCCCCAGGACAATGCTCTGCTTGTAGCCCCACAGCTGTGTCCCAGATGTGCTTCAGAAGGAGAAAGGGCCAGTTAGAGGAGCTGCAAGGACCCAAGGGCATGATTTCACAAAGAACCCCCTTGTTGAGAAGACAGCAGTGTGAGGCAGGGGACGAAGAATCGGGAATCAGGAGAGCTGGGTTCAGATCCCGGTGTGGTCAACGAAAAAGGCCATTCGTTGAGAGGCCACCAGGTAGGAAGAGGCGCACTGACTGCATCATGCCAGGCAAACCACAACCCCCAGGAAACAGGTGTTATCATCCCTCTTCTTCAGAGGATGCCTCATGAGGGTAAGTGATGTCTCAAGAACCCACACAGAGAAAGTGTCGGAGCAAGGACTCGAACCCAGCTCCACCTGACGTCAAAGAGCAGTCTCCCAAGGGGGCGCCTGGGTGGCGCAGTCGGTGAAGCGTCCGACTTCAGCCAGGTCACGATCTCGCGGTCCGTGAGTTCGAGCCCCGCGTCGGGCTCTGGGCTGATGGCTCAGAGCCTGGAGCCTGTTTCCGATTCTGTGTCTCCCTCTCTCTCTGCCCCTCCCCCGTTCATGCTCTGTCTCTCTCTGTCCCAAAAATAAATAAACGTTGAAAAAAAAAATTTTTTTTAAATAAATAAATAAATAAAATAAAAATAAAAAAAAGAGCAGTCTCCCAATACTCCTAACTCTATGCGGCTGGCTGCCTCATCCAGACAATGGGATTGATAGTACCTGGCCCTCTAGACCGGAGAAACCCAATGAGGCCCCAGCATGTATTAGAAGTTCAATAACAAATAGATATTGTCATCAGTACGGGAGAAAATCCAGGGCTCCCAGGGCTGGATTTTCGTGAATTCCATTCCAGACCTTTCTAACTATTTGGAGTGAGGAGGTAGGGCTGCATGGCATGATCGACAATTCTTCTGAGTCACGAAAAGCTACAGCGGCTGAGAAACAGAATGTAGGTTTATCTAAAGTTAGGATTGGCAACCTGTAGCCCGTGGGCCAAATTCAGCTCACCTTTCTGCATAGCAAATAAAGTTTTATTAGAATACAGCCACGCGGGGTGCCTGGGTGACTCAGTCGGATGAGCGTCCAACTTCGGCTCAGGTCATGATCTCGTGGCTCGTGAGTTCGAGCCCCATTATCAGCCTCTGTGCTGACAGCTCAGAGCCTGGAGCCTGCTTTGGATTCTGGGTCTCCCCCTCTCTCTGTCCCTCCCCTGCTTGCCCTCTGTCTTGCTCTCTCTCAAAAATAAATAAAAACATTAAAAAAAATTTTAATAAAAAATAATTAAAAAAGGAATACAGCCATGCTTTTATCCCTACAATGGATGAGATAAGTCATCGAGACAAAAGCCATAGGGTCTGCGAAGCCTAAAAATACTTGCATTCCGGCCCTTTATAGAAGAAACTGGCCAACTCCTGTCTTGCAGCAAATGTAGCCCAGAAGAACCTGTCATTCAGTCGAATTTCCAGGCCACCCTGGGGTTCCCAGTCTCTCTGAAGCCACGCTGAGTTGTGGCCCCCACTGGTTGACATCCCTCAGACAAGACTGCTGAGCTCTGAACTCAGCTTCCCCTCCTTCCTCCCAGTGGAGCTGGGCTACCCATCCTGTCAGGCAGGAAGTAATAATCTAATAATCAATAGAGTTCCCTAGAAGGAAACTTAGGATCCTATTTCTGGACCAGCGCTTTCTGTTACATGCAGGGAACGGGCCCTGGGAGGGAATGTAAAGGCAGAGCCAGACTACAGCCCTGTGACCTGGCCCCTGACCAGCCTGTCCCATGTCCTTTCCCTCCACCCCTGGGCTCCACGCTCCAGGATGTGCACCCAGATGGGGTTCCCAGACCCCCTTCCCAGCACTACCTGGGTGACCACAAAATCAGACTCCTGCCCCTGCTCCTCCATACACAGCCCCCCCCCACACACGCGTGCCCTTGGCAGTAGATGCCGGGTTCTTCACGGTCAGTCCAAGAACACAGTGGTGGGTGTTCTGAATGCCTCAGTCACTATGACTCTGCTTCACCCACCCTGGCAGGGGGCACCTTCCACCCCTGCTCCTACTTCTCATCCTTTCTGTTTGGGCAGCTCTGTGAGGTAGGAAGAGCCGGGGTTCTGGCCCCAGAGGACCTTGGGTTACTCAGGCACAGCCAACTGGTTCCACGAACCCGAGTCCCTCCTTTGAGTCGGCCCTGCCCTGGACCCTAGAGATGCTGCATCTCCTTTCATCTGAGCCTCAACCCCTTCATCTGTCAAATGGCAGAATGGCCGGTCACTGGGGGCCACTGTGAGCAGTAAATAGCTGTGAAAGTGCCTCGTAAACTACAAAACCCTCTGTAAATATCAGCAGTGAGTGAACCGGGTGCGTTTCTGGCTTCTGTGTTAAGATTTAGCTGCATCTCGGGGCAGCTGGGCGGCTCAGTCGGTTGAGCGTCTGACCCTTGATTTCGGCTCAGATCATGATCTCATGGTTTGTGAGATCAAGCCTGCACTGTCACTGCTTGGGATTCTCTCTCTCACGCTCTCTCTCTGCCCCTTCCCTACTCATTCTCTCCTTCCCCGCCCCCCTCTCAAAATAAATAATAAATTTAAAAAAAAAAAAAAAAAGAATTAGCTGCAACCTAAATCCAATGTGGACTTTAGAGCTTGGCATGGGCTTCACAAAAGGAAAAGTCATGTAGTTCTTGTGTTGGAACCAATATAAATAACGGAAAAATAAATAACTGAGAAACATCTCCCCTTGCTTCAGCTCCGCAACAATGCCTCTCTGTCTCGTGCCACGTGGGAGGAAGACTTCTCGTTGCGAGCCCTTGGAAGTAGCAGGCCGAAAAGACAGCCACATCCTGATCCGTGGGTGCCGCAAACACGTTAGGCTACACGGCAGAGGGAAACTGAGGCCACAGACGGAATCAAGGTTGCTAACTGGCTGACCCTAATATAGGGAGGGTGCCCTGGATTGCCCAGTTGTGTGTGACCACTGGGTCCCCAGAAGGGACAGATGGGAGTCCAATGAGGTGTGATTTGAAGCGCGTCCAGAGAGCTACTATGGTACTGTCGCTTTGGGGATGAAGGAAGAAATGTGGGCAACGTCACGTCTAGAAGCTGGAAAAGTCAAGGTAACAGCTTCCCTCCGATAGGAAGGCAGGCCTTGCTGACTTCTTGGTTTTAGCCCAGGGAGACCCGGAGAGGAATTCAAACCTGCGGAACCGTATGGTAATAAATGTGTGCCGTTTCAAGGCACGGAGTTTGCGACGATTTGTCGCAGTAGCGACAGGAAACCCGCGCAGCTCCCGTTCAAGGAATGTGCAGCTGCGTTCTCAAAAAAAAAACCACTTCCAAAGCTACTTGGGGTAAAGGCCAGGACGGCAACCCCAGTAAACCTCTGTCAGAAACCACCGCCCCTGGGTGGTCAAGCCCTGGGCTGATCAGTGGCCACTCGGACCCGGTGGTGAGTGACGCGGTGCCATAACCAGACTGAGATGTTGGGGAGTGCACGGGGCGGACGTCAACCTTCTCCACAAAGACAGTGGGGCCCGCACCCCAAAGTCCAAGCGGGTCAAAAACGAAGAAGAAGGGTCACCTCAACATCAGGGGTTCCTTCTGCCATGCCACCCACGCCTCTGGTTTCAGCTACCACCTAATGGTAATGACTCCATGCCCACGCACGGTGGGTTACCGGGAGACCTGCCGAGCGGCTAAACGGATGATTCTCCACTCTCTAGGTGCGGAGGGACCGCCTCCAGTGCCCTGGTGGCCCTTTTCATAGCCTCGCGTGTCCGAAAACAGCAGTCCCAGGGCTGGGCAAGGACCTACCACACCCCGGTGGGTCCCGAGGGGCACTGCCGGTGGCCAAGACTTGGTGGAATCCTTCCAGGCACCCAAACCATGTCCTGGGAGAGGTGCTGAAGCTGTCTCCCTGGAGGAAGTAGATGGAGGGGTCTGCTGGGAATGTCTTGGAATCCAGATAAAGCTGGAACTCTCCACTTTGGATCAGATCCGAGAAGCGTCCGATGAGATCCTTGCCGACTAAGGCCTCCTCTGTAAGACACACGATGAGGCAGGAATGTCACATTGTTCTCTGCAAGGCCCGGGACCGGGGGGGGGGGGGGGTGTCAAGGGGCAGAGCCACCCAGAATGTCCACAGGGAAAGGGGATGTAAGCATTGCCGGGTTTCTCATTTTACAGGGGGAGACACTGAGGCCCACAGAAGGGGACGGACGGGCCCAAATTCACACTGGAGTCAGAAGCGTTACTGAGACTTTAACCCGGGTCTCTGGATCCTGCCATCTCTGTGGCATCAGTATGATCCCCACTGGTACGAGCTATCGTGTCTTCAGTCACAAATTTCAGGCACACCACGTAGATACACGGCTGTCTTAACCTGTGGCAAGCCACCGTCTCTGAGCCTCGGTCTCCCCATCTGCAAAATGGGGCTGGCAATGCTTCTCTTGCAGTTGGTGACGATTATGAGGGAGGATGTGTATGATGGGGCCACTCAAAGAGAAGCCGGAGCCTCCAGGAGGCAGTGGTTAGTTAAACGCCAAAGCGGCCTCCCGCTGTTGACCCCTAAGTATTGCCTAGGAAGAAACCAGATGAGCACGACATCTGGAGCTGGGACGGATCCCTGCACGCCATGAACATCCATGCTCCGGCAGGCTCCTGTAAAGCCCACCCAGGGCCCGAAACCACAGTCATCAGCATGGACACCAGGAATAAGCATCTCCTCTCTTGGCAGCTTCAGACGTACCTGAATCGCCCTGGGTCTTTCCAGAAGAAGATGAAAAGGGACCCCCAGCCCCCCCGGTAGCACAGAGGTCAGGCTGCAGCCAGTCCTGACCTTGGGCGTTTGGCCACTGGACCGGATGGTAGGAGAGCAGGGGTGGGGGCTCCCCACTCTCCGGTCGGCGATATGGATTCTGTCTACACTGGCTCCCGGCACCATCACAAAGTCCACTCCTTGGATCCTTTTGCTCTCTCAATCCATCCACACACCTGCCCACTTTACACAGTATAATAATGGGTTTAAATACTGTCACTGGTCTGAGATGTTTTAGAATTACAAGTGCACAGAACACAGATTATAAACCAACACAGACTGCCACCCTCCTCCTCTTCCCTGCTTCACCCCTGTCTCCCCGTCGGTGCCCAGAAAATCAAGAGAAGAATTTAAAAGTGTCCACATAAGTATACTCAGGTGATATTATTTAACTGTAGTAAGCCACTAACAGAACATCGTTCATTTTTATGTACTTTTAAAAAAATTTTTTTTTCAACGTTTATTTATTTTTGGGACAGAGAGAGACAGAGCATGAACGGGGGAGGGGCAGAGAGAGAGGGAGACACAGGATCGGAAACAGGCTCCAGGCTCTGAGCCATCGGCCCAGAGCCTGACGCGGGGCTCGAACTCACGGACCGCGAGATCGTGACCTGGCTGAAGTCGGACGCTCAACCGACTGCGCCACCCAGGTGCCCCTTAAATTTTTTTTTTAACATTTATTTATTTTTGAGACAGAGAGAGCATGAACAGGGGAGGGTCAGAGAGAGGGAGACACAGAATCTGAAACAGGCTCCAGGCTCTGAGCTGTCAGCACAGAGCCCGATGCAGGGCTCGAACTCACGGACTGCGACATCATGACCTGAGCCGAAGTCGGACGCTTCACCGACTGAGCCACCCAGGAACCCCTTATGTACTTTTTAATCACTGGCGCCTCCAAGGGCCAAGTACATCATTCTCTCACTAGATCCTCGTAGGAAGGCATTACAGGCTCCACCGGCATGTGACAGATGGAGAAACTGAGTCTCAGAGAGGCTGCATGCCATCAAGGCAGAAGCACAGGAAAACATACCGATGTCACGCACATCAGGAAGAGAGGCTGGGGGAACGTCCTGGAGCCGCAATTTCCACGTGACATTCACTCCTAAACGCTCGCCACTCACACATTCCACCTGCACCGTGGAACCATCGCAGACGGGAATGGAAACGGGGCTCCCAAAAGTCTTTGCCTGCATGGAGACAGATATCTTTAGTTCTAGAACGCGGAGTTGGGAGGCAGCTTCGCTGAGCCCACACGAGGCGCCAGAACGTGGTGGATGCTACTTCCTTCCAACCTCCCTTCAACCCACCCGAGGGGGCAAAAGGCACCATCAACCCCCTTTCCCTCTGAGAACCATGAGGGTCCAGTCATCTCCGCACAAATCAAAGTTCATCCCGGTTCACGCCGGATTCTTTTTTCCCTGTTGCATTAGTATATTACTGATTAAAATCCGTCCCGACCACTTTAACTAGCGTTTGGCTTTGTTCGTCTTTGACAATCCTCAGGGCCTACAATCATGCCCAGCCTGTAATAGGCACTCAAACATTTGTTACATGGAAGGAGGAAAGAAGGAAAGAAAGAACTTGGTGCAACGAAAGAGTCTAAACAGACCTGGATTAGCTATCCAACTTGGGCAACTTACGTACCCTCAGTGGGCTTTAGTTAATACACTTAGAAATCAAGGGCCACTAAGGCCCACTGAGCAGGGTGCTGACATAAATTAGAGACAAGAAATGTACAATTTCTAGAATGGTTCCAGGGACACAGTCAGGGCTCAACAATGAATAGCTATCACTGCCATTGTTGCCAAGTACATTTCTTTGAATAAAAGGGGACAAAGTATGTTTCTCTTTGTTTTAGAATCACAACTGTCTGTATCTGTTTTCGTGAAAATGTACGTTCTCCAAAATTCTTAGCATGAGGTGTTAAAACTGCGTTGCTCTCTGAGCTAACAAGCTTGGAGCAGAACGAGTCACTTATTTAATTGAGTGACTTTTATTTATTTATTTTTTAATGTTTATTTACTTCTGAGACAGAGAGAGACAGAGCATGAGCAGGGGAGGAGCAGAGAGAGAGAGAGAGAGAACCAGAATCCAAGGCAGGCTCCAGGCTCCGAGCTGTCAGCACAGAGCCCGACGCGGGGCTCGAACTCACAGACCGTGAGATCGTGACCTGAGCCGAAGTCGGTCGCTCAACCGACTCAGCCACCCAGGAGCCCCTAATTGAGTGACTTTTAAAGACTCCCTCTGTGAATACTTGTGACTTCAAATCACAGAAGCCTTTGCCTATTACACAGCTAAAGACTCTGGAAGGCAGCATCTTCCTTCCAGGGGGAATCCATAATGCCTTCCGGCAGGTTTGGTCAAGACACGTCTGGCACAGTGGTTCAGGGTGCGCATCCTGGCGTTTCAGTCTTCCTGCACCCCGTTCCCGGACCCTTCCTCCGCAGGTGCTGGTAGGACGGCACGGGCGTTCACAGCTCTGTCCCCAGGTCATCTGCCTGTCTCCACCATCCCCAGCTGTGTCACTCTGGACAATTACGTTAACCCTCCAGGCTTCAGCCCCCTCATCCGCAAAACGGGAACAGTAATAGGATCCCCACGAGCATTGCTAGTCCGGGCCAACAGCGCACGGGGCTCGCCACACGGTAAGTGCTCGGCACACGTTTGGTTTGTCACCTTTATGCAGAAAGGAGCGCCGGTAAGGAGTGCGGATTCCATCCCTGTCGCTACGTAATTAGCCTTGGCCAAAGGACTCTCTCAGGGTGAACCTCGGTTTGCCTATCTGTAGAATGAGCGGGAGCGGGACCCTAGGTTCCCTTGAGCCCCGAGGCCCCCTGGACACGGTGACCCCGAGCCCAGTCCGAGCCCCCGCCCGCGCGGGAGGCCAGGCGCACACCTGGATCTGGCAGAAGCCCCGGGCCACGAGCTCGTCTGATATGAAGACCCGGAAAGCCGGCAGCAAGCCCGCGTAGTCGGCGCTGCACATCTTGCCTGGCGGGAGCCGGAGCAGGACCCGCGCTCGGGTCTGGACGGTCTGCCACAGCTGGGGCCCTGCAGGCAAGCGCCAGAGGTCAGCAGACGCGGACAGCAGACCCGTGAGACTCTCCTCTTTGGTTTTGCCTCTGCAAAAGGAGCCCTTCTTCCTTTAGCTCGGAACGCACAAGCACTCCCAGCTTGCATGGCCCCCTTCCCGGCACGGTGGTTTCTCTCTGAAATTACTGAGCACGCACCCTCCCAGCGAGCTCAGTCCGGCCTCGGCCTCTAAACCAGGCTGCTTGACATTCTTGGGGGTGGGGGGGGGGGCGGGCTGGGACATTCTTCTTGGTAAGTCTGCCACATTACCTTGCATTCCAACAGGGCCACCGCATACGATGTTGCCAATTAAGGGGAGACCCCACAGACTGTATGAGAGACGCACTCTAAGGTTGCTCAGTGCGCAACCTGCACAGTCGTACACAGTGGCCCTGCACTTAACTGTAAGAGCTCGAGGCTCGTGCCCCTCTTCTCCCAAGTGCCTGGCTCTAGAGCCAGTCTTGACAAGCCTGGTCTTAGTTTCGGCTTAGGCCACTTTGTCACAGCCAGGGGGACAGACCACTTATTTGTCCAAATCATACTGGCCTTTTTATGGATACCATTTTCTATCCCAGAAATTCGCCAGAAATACTGCCTTTTGACACTCTGCGAACCCCCCGGAACCTTGTGACCATCCCAGGATCTGGGTCTCCCTCTCTCTCAGACACCACCCCATTGCCCTGGGCGGACCCAGTGCCCGGTCCCGGCATCCGCCCATGCTCTGCCGGGCTGTGAGTAACTGTGGCCAGCCTTAGCCAAGGCAGAGGCAGTCAGAGCTCAATGCTGCCTCACAGCTGTGGGGGTGTAAGAACAGGTTCCGTGGGAGACCAGGGAAAAGGGGCTCTGCCCATCTTCAAACAGGGCCCAGGCACACAGGGACCAGAACTGGTGCCCCCCCCCGCCCCCCCGGAGCAGGGTCCAGCCCCAGATCTGCCAGGCATTAGGTGTGGAGCCCCAGATGGACCCGGGAGTGAGGCCAGTGGCTCAGAGTCCAGACAAACAGCTCTGAGCTTGTCAACACCAGAGTAGCCAATAAGGCCATTGGAACACCTACCTCCCGAACACACTTCTGTATCCAAGGCATCCCAGGAAAGCCTGAAATGATGGCAGTTCTCCCAAGGAGCAGATTGTCCCAAAAGAAAGCGCAACCCTAGGAGTCTGTGAAACACATCTGCTCCTTCTAAAAGAAAATGCTGGGGCACCTGACTGGCTCAGTCGGTTGAACGTCCGACTTCCGTGATCTCGCAGTTTCTGAGTTTGAGCCCCGCATCGGGCTCTCTGCTGTCAGCCTGTCAGCGCAGATCCTCTGTCCCCGTTTCGGCCCCTCTCCCACTTGCGTCCTCCCAAAAATAAACGAGTGTTTTTTAATTAAAAAAAGAAGAAAGAAAGAAAACACTTTATTGGGCCCCCTCTCCTGTTCCTGATGCCGCCTGGCTCACCGTGGAAATGCTACCCTCGGGCGGGGAGAATGCAGGTGCTCAGCCCTGAGCCCCAAGGGAGAAAGCAGGGTGCGGGGCAGACACTCACGCTGGCAGGCGTGGGGCTGGGGCGGCTGTGACACCCAGCGTCCCTCCTCGAGGCCACATAGCAGGGGCCCTGGCGGGAACGCACTCCAGTAGCCCCGGAGGCATCGCAGCTGGCACCGCTGGATGGCGGATCCCCCGGGGCCCGCGGCTCGCTCACACAGGATCGCTCCACCAGCCACATCCGACGTGTTGAACGGTAGCGGGCACTGGGGGCCTAGAAGCAAAGAGGGCCGCTGTGGGTGCCACTCGCACAAGGGGGGCCTGACGTCTCCCCTTTCGCCCTTTCCCAGCCTTGACCTCCCGGGGCCCCCTCCCTCCCCGCCCTCCTCTCGGGTGAGCCCATCCTCCTGCTTTAACAGACTTCTGAGCGCACCCTCTCCCACATCTTCGTGCCCAGCTTGGGTCCCCGCAGCTCCTTCCCATCTGGACATCCAGTTGCCAGGGGGCCTCTCCACCCCAGAGCCAGCACACCCGACCTCCTCGCCTGCGGCCGCGTCTCCCCCAGCTTCGGTGTCCCGAGCTCCACCCATGACGAACCCCAGTTGTCCCAAGCCACACATGTGGCAGCACCTTAGATGGTCCCGTCCCCTCTGCCGCAGACCAGCAAGGGCTGCAGATCACCTGTCCCGACTTTTCATCTCCGTGCACTTCCTTCCTTTAGGGTCAGCCACCGGTTCCCAAACTGCTACCTACGGAAGCTTCTGCACCAGGCTCCCCGCCTCCGGGATCAGACAACCCATCCAGTCCCTGCTGTCAGCACAGAAGCTGCAGCGAAGCTGGACAGGGCTCTCAACTGCCCTGAGGGCCACTGACCCACCATTCCCTCTCCTCTCCTCTCCTCCCCTCCCCCCTCCTCTCATCTCTTCTCCTCCTGCCGCTCTACCTTCGCGGGTCTCCCCTTCCCTGAACGTCCCATGCCCTTCCCTCTGCCTGCCCAGCTGCCTAGAATATTCCTTTTTTTCAAGCCTCCATCATCAACTCAACATCTCCTGCCTTCTACACCTTCTGCGGTTCCCCAGGGCGAACTTAGCGAGCTCTCAGGCCTCCATGCTGTCAGTCATTCAAGACTAATCATGTGCACGCTGGTCTCCCCGCTGCACGGAGCCAGGGAGGAAAGAGGGCGCCCCTCCCTGTTCACCCAGAACACAAGCTCCAGGAATGTACGTTAAATAAGTGGCTGAACGAGTAAACGAAAGAACAGACACACTCAGTGGGATCATTGAGCGCCCTATAGCGAGTCAATTAACTTCTCTGTGACTCCGTTTTCTCACCCATAAAATGGTGAGGACAGCGATATTGCCTACCTCCGAAGGATGGTGTGAATCAAGATGCGTTAAGGGACATAAAGAGCTTAGAGGAGTTACTGGCACATGACAGACAAATAGTCATTAATGTGGGTCCTGATGATGATGATGACGATGATTGTTAACAACAAGAACACATCATCGCCTGCACTGGGAATCTCAGGATGTGAATTAACCCTTTCAGAGCAAGGAAACAGCTCTTGGTGTATTACAAGGGTAAGCTTCCTACCCCCGTGATGTCTGATATCTACCATGAATTGTAGAGTTTGTGAAACTCTGTCATGATTGACACTTAATTTACCTTCCTCAAAACAAGCCTATGAAGTTGGTAGCCGTGGCATTTTCACCCTCCTTTTATAGATGAAGAAATGGAAGTCTAGAGACACAGGGCCAGGACTTGGGCACAGGTCCTTTGAAACTAACCGCTACCCTAGCAGGCAAGGGCCACACTTCCCCTTAGTAGCAAGTATTAGCCTGGTGCTGTTTATTTTTTCAAATATTTTTTTAATGTTTATTTATTTTGAGAGAGAGAGACAGACAGAGCACGAGACCAGGGGAGGGGCAGAGAGAGAGGGAGACACAGAATCCAAAGCAGGCTCCAGGCTCCGAGCTGTCAGCACAGAGCCCGACGTGGGGCTCGAACTCACGGACCATGAGATCATGCCCTGAGCCGAAGGAGGATGCTTAACCAACTGAGCCACCCAGGCGCCCTGGGTTTTTTTGTAATGTTTATTTATTTTTGAGAGAGAGAGAGCGTGAGCAGGGCAGGGGCAGAGAGAGAGGGAGACACAGACTCCGAAGCAGGCTCCAGGCTCCGAGCTGTCAGCACAGAACCCGACATGGGGCTCGAACCCACGGACCGTGAGATCATGACCTGAGCCCAAGACGGACGCTTGACCGACGGAACCACCCCAGCGCCCCAGCCTGGTGCTGTTTAGAGAGGGGGATACACCCATCCACTTGTAGACACGAGTGTTGGCGTCATGGGAATCATCTGAAACCACATCCCTCCAGCCCTTCCCTGTCTGCCCCCCCACCTGCCCTGTCCTGGTGCCTCAAGAGTCCTCCCCAGCCTGCGTAAGGGAAGAGATGAGTGGCACACCCACCCAGCAGCCCAGGGGAGCCCCTCGGGGGTCACAGCTTACTTTCACAGGCTGGCTGGCGCCCGGCCTCGCGGGTCCCAGGCACCTCTTCTCCGGTGGCGAGGACACACCAGCAGCTGCCCTGGGCCGGGTCGCAGCGCACGGGGGAAGAGCGTCCGTCCTCTGCCCCACAGGCTGGGGTAGAGCCCGAGCTGGCTCTCCTGGGGAGGACTCCACTCGGGAGCACGTCACAGAGGCTCGGGCCTGGACACAAAGACAAGCCAAATGGGCCCATGGCCCACAGAGGTGCCTCCACCCACCGCCACCTGTCACACCCACCTGCAGGGCCCTCCAGGGTCTGGGGTGCTGGACTAGGACAGGCCAAAGAAGGCACCCCGCCCAAATCCAGACTCCCCTACAAGCGCGCGCACACACACACTCTCTCTCTCTCTCTCTCTGCCCTCCAGGAACTTCGTGTCTTTAAGGAGATTTAGGGAGGGAGGGAGGGATTGTGGCTGAGAGTGATGGGGGGACCACAGGCCATGCGCAGGGCAGTTTGGGAACCCGCAGAAAGGCACGGCGCTCAGCTCTGGAAGGGAGGCCGCGAAGGCGTCCTGTAGGGACTGACACGTGATCCGTGTAGGAAGCGGGGGTGGGGAGGGGACTGAAGCAGAAACGCACGTGAAGGCCCAGAGGGAAGCCAGCATCCCCCTTCTTGAAAAGTCTGGCCGTAGTTTACAACACCCGGGTCCTGAGCGCCAGAGATGACGAGACAAGAAAAGCAAAGAGAGGAGCGGGAGCCCGACATGCAGGGGCCGATGGGCCACGGGGAGGAGCCTGGGCCCCGAGGACCCTGGAGGAGGCAGAGCACATTGGCACTTGGGGGACACCCTGGTGACTTCGGTGCGGAACCCAGGCTGCGGGGCTGAGGCGGGGTGGGGGTGGCAAGGGGCGAGGCAGGGGCTGGTTGTGGCCTCAGCGCCACTTTAATGGGGACCAGAGCCGGTTTGCATGTCTTGGTTACAAAGCACAGCCCACTCCCTGCCACGCGTGTCTTTCTCAAGAACCCACGGAGGTGAGGGCCTACTGCCCCTATTTTACAGATGAGAAAACTGAGGCCCAGGGAGGCCAGAGGCTCCCACAGCTCTGGAAGCAGCACAGCGGGGAGCTGGAGGCAGCGCTCATGGCGGGGTTGGGGCAGGGGGAGGGGCAGCCACTCACACGGGGCGCTGCTGTTGGTGGCCAGAGGCAGGCCCGCTCCCGAGGCTGGGTCCACACACCAGGCGCCGGCCTCCGACTCCTGCAGCCTGGCAAACTCTCCTGTCTGAGACAAAGCCGAGCTCATGTCTTCACCCCAGGGAAGACGTTTTTGCAGCCCACAGGTCGGTGGGCAGATGTCCAGAATGTCCCTTGCCGAAACCACCGGGGACGGTTTCACCAAACAGAGAGAGGCGAGGCGGAGAAGACGCTATCCTGGTCCAGACCCTTTACATCCGCTCCTTAATTGATGGTTACCACAACCCCATGAGGCCAGGCCCACAGCGTTCTCATTTTCGGGTGGGGGAAACTGAGGCTCAGAGAGGGGAGGAGACAGAGCAACGTCCCATAGGGAGAGAATGGTGGGGCCGGGCTGGGTCTAAACCCATCCGGCCCCAAAGCCCAGCCACTGTCCTGAACCAAGCTCCCCCCAGGTCCAGAAACGATTTTCAGCACGCGTCCCTAGAAGGAAGGGGACCTTTGGCACCTGTAACAATGAGGGGATCAGTAGAAGACAGCCACCCAGACCTTATCTGGCCAGGCCCGTCTCTCCCAGACTGTCCTGGGACCACCTGCGGAACACAGAGCAAGGCCAGTGGGGCCTCAGTTTCCCCGCTAAAAAAAAAAGAGGCAGGACTAGATTGATGTTTGCACACACTCCTTCTAGGAACTCTTGGTGGTAGAAAGTGTTACATCTCCTGCATCTGTAACGGAAAACCCTAAGAGGAAGCAGGGTGCTGGAGAACACCAGCAGCCCCAAGCTACCTGTCACTGTTTCCCTGAGCTTCTGTTGGCTGCTTTTCACATCATACTCTGCTGTGCCTTGTTCACAGGCAAGAAATGACAGTAATAACACTCGACATTCACAGGGAACATGACCACAAAGGCCACTCTGTGCGAATCACCCCCACTCCCAGGGTGTCACTGCGTCCCTAGGAGGCAGGGACCCTGCTGTCCCCATTCTACCCAGAGAGGCCCAGAGAAATCAGATGATATGCCCCTGGTTACATGCCTTATAATCCAAACAGGTAAGATTCAAAGCCAAGTGAAAGGTTTGAGAAAATGTTATGGGACAAAGGCTTCAAATTGAGAACTTTCTAGCGAGACAGGAAACCATCAAAACCCTAGAGAAGAAAGCAGGAAAAAACCTCTCTGACCTCAGCCGCAGAAATTTCTTACTTGACACATCTCCAAAGGCAAAGGAATTAAAAGCAAAAATGAACTATTGGGACCTCATGAAGATAAAAAGCTTCTGCACTGCAAAGGAAACAATCAACAAAACTAAAAGGCAACTGACGGAATGGGAAAAGATATTTGCAAATGACATATCGGACAAAGGGCTAGTATCCAAAATCTATGAAGAACTCACCAAACTCCACACCCGAAAAACAAATCATCCCGTGAAGAAATGGGCAGAAAACATGAATAGACACTTCTCTAAAGAAGACATCTGGATGGCCAACAGGCACATGAAAAGATGCTCAACGTCGCTCCTCATCAGGGAAATACAAATCAAAACCACACTCAGATATCACCTCACGCCGGTCAGAGTGGCCAAAATGAACAAATCAGGAAACTATAGATGCTGGAGAGGATGTGGAGAAACAGGAACCCTCTCGCACTGTTGGTGGGAATGCAAACTGGTGCAGCCACTCTGGAAAACTGTGGAGGTTCCTCAAAAAATTAAAAACAGATCTACCCTATGACCCAGCAATAGCACTGCTAGGAATTTACCCAAGGGATAGAAAAGTGCTGACACATAGGGGCACTTGTACCCCAATGTTTATAGCAGCACTCTCAACAGCAGCCAAATTATGGAAAGAGCCTAAATGTACATCAACTGACAAATGGATAAAGAAATTGTGGTTTATATACACAATGGAATACCACGTGGCAATGAGAAAGAATGAAATCTGGCCTCTTGTAGCAATGTGGATGGAACTGGAGAGTGTTATGCTAAGTGAAATAAGTCTTACAGAGAAAGTGAAATAAGTCATACGTATGTTTTCACTCTTATGTGGATCCTGAGAAACTTAACAGAAGACCATGGGGGAGGGGAAGGAAAAAAAAAAAGAGAGGGTGGGAGCCAAAACATAGAGACTCTTAAAAACTGAGAATAAACTGATGGTTGATGGGAGTGGGAGGGAGGGGAGGGGGGGTGATGGATACTGAGGAGGGCACCTGTTGGGATGAGCCCTGGGTGTTGTATGGAAACCAATTTGACAATAAATTTCATATGAAATTAATTAACTAATTAATGAAATTAAATAAATAAAATGTGTGGCATTAATAAAAAAATTGAGAACATTCTAGTCGTTAACTTAACCTTTCCTAGGGACTTGGGTCAAAGGCACAGCTACCCAGTTTGGGTTGTGGAAGGCTTGGGTCCTGTTCCCTAGCACCTGGGGCCTCCATAGGAGGCAGGCCAGGAGACCACCTGATCACAGCCTGCTCAGAATCACTTTTCCCTCTGTCAGAAACTGTGGTCTCCACCTCACCCTCTGTGCCAACAGAGGCCGGTACCCAGGACAATGGAACAGACTTCTATTGCAGCCATCGGGGGTTGTTAGCCAAGATAAAAGGCTAAAGAGGCCAATTTCTCTACAAAAATCAGTAATAACTGGGGTCCATCGTCACAGTTCCAAACAGCAACAATAATAAAGAATAATAATAAGAAAACTTTTGCTCAGTGATTTGTAGTCATCTCGCTTTCAGAAACTTCTAGGGGCCGAGCAGAGATTGCCATCACTCGGCATGTAAGTGGTTAAGACTCCAGCAAGAATCCTTCCTTCGGGGGCTTTTTACATCAGTTCTGCACCCATCCAGCAATGTAAAGCAGGTAACATTCTAATGCCTCCCATTTATATGAAGAAACAGATATACTGGCCATACAATGTGGCCAGGATGACTTTAGGGTAAATATGTCACCAACTATAGACATGCAGATTTATTCTGCAAAGAAATGGAAAATGTTTCCTTGGGGCCTCCGAACAATCCTAGCACTAGGCAGGATAAAAGTGTGGCCCAATCTTAGGATAAGATAAAGCAAACTGGAGCACAGAGAAGGTAAGCAAATTGCCCAAGGTCACACAGCCAGGGTCTGTCAGGGTAAAGAATGACCTAGGAGTTTTTAAGTAAAACAAGTATACTGAGAACTAGAAAAATCATCCCCAGTGTACATGAGAAAGCTCTGGCTGCCCTCCTCAAACCATCCCTGTGCTCTCAGAGCCTTACCTCTAGGCAGGTTGGGATGAACAGGTCTTTTGGAGACGGGTTTCCCTGGGACCCAGCCTGTTTCCAACTGGAAAGCAGCCCACTGGTTCGAGATGCCTCACAGGCGGTGGGGCCTGAGGAAGAGGAGGGGAGTTCTTAACACACTGGCCGTGGGAGAGCAGGGAGCCCAGATGGGCCTGGGGGGTGGGGGTCAGAGGCTTGAGTCAGGGTAGAAGGAGGTGTCCTGCACAGACAGAGGGAGCCTCAGAGGAGGATCAGGCCACGGTTCAGGGACAGAGACCCACATGCGGAGAGGCCGGTCCGTAGGGCAAGTGTGAGACAGTTGTCAAAACTGGAAGAGTGAATGAAAATGCCCGGGAGCAGGTGGGAGGAGGGGACCCCGGGCTCTTTCACCGTCACTGGGGACTCTCTGCACCTAGGAAGCGAGGTGCACAGAACACGAAGGACCAAGATCATGAGAGTCGTCCAGACTTGGGAATGCAGGAAAGCATGGCCTGGCGGCCCTCGGGGGCTGGACTGTGGGCGCTTGGGGGGGCTGACCCACGAGCATCCCCAAGGTGGGGTGACAACAACGGGCTGGACCAGCCTAGAACAAACATGACAGTGACTATACACAGGGTCAGGCGGGACAGTTCCTCGGGCTTCACTTACACTGGGGGATCTGGGAGGAGCGGGCAGTCAGCGAGGCAGGGACGTACTCTCCCCTCCTGTCCACACACCAGCAGTACCCTGGGAAAGAGCCGCGGGTCAGAGGTTCAGGAAGTGCGCTGGGGGACTCGCCCCCAGGGGTCTCGCGCAAAACTCTCCTTCTGTGCACCCACAGCAGGGCCAGCAGGTTCCCATCCGTCCCCCCTGCCCACCATGTGCACAATCACACACCCCAACCCCCCCAGCAACCACGCACTTGACCTTCAGGCTGGCAGGTCACAAGTTCCGTCGCACAAATGGCACAAACCAAAGTCCAGAGAAACTAAGGGATTTGTCACCAGCTGCCAGAGGGGCCCAGAGTCCAGCTCACTGGCCCCAGTGCAAAGCCCTTTCCTCTAAATGAAAAGGAGGGTGTCACTCCACCCCTCGTGGTGTCCATCCCGCTCACCAGTCCTGGCGTGGCATTGCACAGGCTCCCAACGTCCCCACGCGTCGCACTGGGGCACGTAAGGGCCGGGCCGCAGAAGGGCGGATGCTCGCGTGGAATCATCTCCCCGGAGAAAGGCGCGTCTTCGATAGAAGTCAAGGGCTGGAGTCAGGAGAGAGGGGAGCAGAAACGTGAGCCGGAAGGCTGGAAAAGCCTCAGCAGTGTGGGCTCAGCCGCTGACAGGCCCCACGCACATTCTTGCTCCAACGTGAGGAGGCCTTCTTACTGATGTGACAAACAGTGCCTCCCAAAACAGGACAGAGGCTCCTTAAACAGCGGAGAGGCACTCATCAGGCTGCCCTTCAAAAATAAAAATGTAGGGGTGCCTGGGGTGGCCCAGTTGGTTAAACATCTGACTCTTGATTTCGGCTCGGGTCATGATCTCAGCGTTCGTGAGATCGAGCCCCAAGGTGGGCTCCACATGCTGGGGGAGGAGCTTACTTAAGAGCATGTGTTCTCTCTCTCTCTCTCTCTCTCTCTCTCTCTCTCTCTTAGATAGATAGATAGATAGATAGACAGATAGATACATAGAAAGATAAGATAGATAGATAGATAGATAGATAGATAGAAAGAAAGAAAGAAAGAAAGAAAGAAAGAAAGAAAGAAAGAAAGATAGATAGATAGATGGGGCGCCTGGGTGGCGCAGTCGGTTAAGCGTCCGACTTCAGCCAGGTCACGATCTCGCGGTCCGTGAGTTCGAGCCCCGCGTCGGGCTCTGGGCTGATGGCTCAGAGCCTGGAGCCTGTTTCCGATTCTGTGTCTCCCTCTCTCTCTGCCCCTCCCCCGTTCATGCTCTGTCTCTCTCTGTCTCAAAAATAAATAAACGTTGAAAGATAGATAGATAGATAGATAGATAGATAGATAGATGTAGGCTGCAGTCTGAAGGAATCACTGCTGGCCTCTTTCAAATCACTTTCATATGAGGCCATTTAGGTCGGTGAGATGTCCTCTGGCCCATGAAAGGGGAGACCCGTAGACAGCACTTATTCAACATGTCCTACAACAGCAGGCACAATCCGAATATAGGTTTTAGCTGATGAATCCTCATGGCAACCCTTTACGAGAGGTCACATCACCCCATCTGATGGGGACAGAACAGGTGGATCACGTAGCCTACCCCAGCCCCACGGCCGGGAAGTGGACGGAGTGGCTCTGAACACGAGAGGTCAGGGGGTGACACCCACCACGCTCCCACAATTTAGTGCTCCGGCCCCCCGAAGGCTTTGTTCCCCACAAAATCGGGTCTGGTCTTCACAACAGCCCAGGTCGTCTGCACTGTCACCCCAGGGTGCGGGACGGGCTCGGTGGGGCAGGCGAAATGACTCGCTGACGGTCACCCTGCCATCAGACTGTGCCCGTCCTCCATGCTCGGCGTCCCCTGCCCTGCCTGGCTGTCCCTCACCGCACTCTCCACTACTGACATACTAGACATTGTATGTGTTTGCTTCGTCCCCTCCATGCCAGCGCTTACGCCCTTTAGTGCAAAGATTTGTGCTCATTTTGTGGGCAGAGCTGTGTCTGCCTCATAGAAAGCACTCGAAAAATATTTGTTGAAGCTCAGGAAACAACAGATGTTGGCGAGGATGCGGAGAAAGGGGATCTCTTTTGCACTGGTGGTGGGAATGCAAACTTGTGCAGCCGCTCTGGAGAAGAGTATGGAGGTTCCCCCAAAAATTAAAAATAGAACTACCCGACCCACCCAGCAATTGCACTACCAGGAATTTATCCCAAGGATACAACAATGCTGATTCAAAGGGGCACAAGCACCCCAATGTTTATAGCAGCACTATCGACAACAGCCAGACTATGGAAAGAGTCCAAATATCCCCCGACTGATGAATGGATAAAGATGTGGTTTATATAGAGAGTGGAATATTACTCGGCCATCAAAAAGAATGAAATCTTGCCATTTGCAACAATGTGGATGGAACCAGAGTGTATCGTGCTAAGCGAAATCAGTCAGAGAAAGACAGATATCACAGGATTTCACTCATATGTGGAATTTAAGAAACAAAACAGATGAACATAGGGGAAGGGAAGGAAACCTAAGATAAAAAGACAGAGGGAAGCAAACCACAAGAGACTCTTAAATGCAGAGAACAAACTGAGGGCTGATGGAGGCGGGGGCGGTTGGGGTAAATGGGCGACAGACATTAAGGAGGGCACTTTTTGGGATGAGCACTGAGTGTCATATGTAAGAGATGAATCACCTGGGTTCTACTCCTGAAGCCATTATTACACTGTACGTAAACTAACTTGAATTTAAGGTTTTTTTTTAAAAAAAATAAAGAAATATTTGTTGAGTGGAAAAGAAGAAATGCAGGCATGGAAGGGGTGGGAGGGCGGGCGGGGGGTGAGACAGACGCTAGCGGGCCTGGGTCTCCCAGCGCTCCCTCCCCAGTGTGATTTGCCCCCCAGCGCCATTTCCCTCCTGAGCAGCCAGGAACTGTCCCCTGGACCCCTTCTCAGGTCTGACCCCCTCCACCTCCTCTCCCTTCCTGCTGGCGCTCAGGGTGGGCTTGTGGGGTACGGGGTTGTGGGTGACACAGGGTCACATCACCCAACTTGCTCCTCTCAGAGACGGGCTCACGGCTCCCCAGGGGGGACCCCAGCAACCCACGGTCAGATCCCCTCAGGAGACCAGGACCCCAGAAAGCGGCCTGGTGCACGGGATGGGGCTCGGGAGCCGATGAGCCTCTGCCTGAATCCTGGCACAGCCCCTCTTGGTTATCGTGAGTGATCTTCGGGGTCATGAGTGAGCTCCCCAACCTCTTTGAGCCTCAGTTTCCCCATTGATGAATTGGCTCTAATACCCCACAGGGTAAGCGTGACATTTAGATCACGAGAACTTGAGCACCGAGCTCACGCCAAGAGCAGCTGGGTAAAAATGACTCCCACGTCTCTCCCTCACCCTCCTTGGACCCGAGGACACGACTGCCGTGTCCTGTTGGCCCAAGACACTCCGTGACCCTTCATCTCTGTCTGTCCTGGGCTTTCAATCCCCAGACTCTCCAGGACAGGAGGGCTACACACGAAGAGCTTCCTCGCCTGTGCAAGAGTAGAGACGCCTCTTCTCATCTCGAGGGATTCGAGAAAAAAGTGCACCCTTGCTTCTTCCCTACAGACCCTTCCTCTTTTCACTACCGCCTCAGACATGCAAAATCAGAGCGTGTGGCTGCGGGGGTGGGGGGGCCGGGGGGGGGGCCGGCGACTTCCTTAACTTGACTTCTGAAGTCAAGTTCAGCCAGCTCACCATTCAGTAACGAAATTTCTATGGCGCCAACGACTTTTTCTCCCCTTCTCTAACCAGGGGTCACAACTGCAGGAACATCGACCCCACGTATCCATCTGATGACATCAAGTCTGTCCAGGGACAAAATTGAAAAACAAAAACAAAAACAAAAACCCGGTTTCTTGCCAAAAGTAGAAATCCCCAAGTCCCCGAGGAACAGAGACAAGAAGTGTCTGGGCATGGGGGAGGGGAGGAGACGGAGGAGAAAGAAAGAGGTGACGAAAGAAGCAAGAAGGACTGTTTAGCAACATTTAGCAGGCTCCCACTGTCTGCCGGGCACTGCGCCCAGACAGGGGACATAACGATGAGTGAGACGCGGTGCGTCATCTTCCAGAAGAGACAACTGGCGTGGAAGAGAGGCAGGAACCAAACATGGCACTTGGGCGAGTCCCACTGGGGTGCAGAGAACAAAAACACCTGAGCCCCCGTCCCCAGGGGGCAGCAGACATCCCTGAAGGGAGAAGCAGGGGGGCCCTGGCCTGCAGGATGGGGGACTCTCGTCTCGGCACAGATGTCATCACGGGGAGCACGGCTTTGCTGTGGTGCGACCCGAACCCAGAAAATCCCAGGTGGGGAATGCGCTGAGATCTTCTGACCAGGAGCAGGGAGCCCAGGATGCTGGGAGGACAGGAACCGTCAGCCCCTGCCCAGTTGGGGCGGGGTCAGAGAGAGACCTGGGGGAGCCGTCGGACCCTCCCTCCGGCGAGGCTGCGGGCGGTGGAGGAAGGGCAGGGCGTCCGGGACCAGCCAGACGCAGGCTCTGGGCACCAGGGATCGGCTGGGCAGGGGACAGAGGCTCGCGGTCCAAACCATCCAGGCTCTGCTGGTTGTGAGCTGGGTCAGCTAGGGCAAGTGAACTTGGGCCTGAGAAGCACCACGGATGGTGACTGCAGCGCTGTTCTCATGGAAGCGCTGGAGCATGACATGCAAAGAGCCGGCCGTCTACTCAGCACAGGCAGCGCCTGGCCAGCGGTGGGTTTCAAGTAATGTTGAGCCACCATCACAGGCTAGAGCGAGGTCGGCCCTCCGAGTGTATCTCTGTCACATGCAGGCAGTAAGCCCTGCTCTCTGGAGCCCCCGTCAGATTTAGCTGAGACCACACGTGGAAGGTGCCCGAAACCCACTCATTTCTTGGTAATAAATGTTCCTCTCCTTTGTCCCCAGTGGAAGTGGAGGGAAGCTTCGGAACAGGCCACGAGCATTTCAGGTGGGGGCCCCTCACGTTCTAGCAAGTACGTGTGGCTGCCTGTTGGGCTATGGGCACCATCTTCAATATGCGGCATGGGGACCCGCGCCCAAGTGGCTGTGCCGGCGGATTCGGGAATACAGTGGAGAGGGGTGCACCATTCTAGCTTTGCCTGGGACACAAACCCACCTTGCCTTTTCTTTCCCAGGGACCCCCCCCCCAGCCTGGGAAAACCAAGGCCAAAGTTCTGAGGACTGAAGAGCCACGAACTCAAGCCCTTGCTTCCCCAACGAGATGGACCAAGAAACCAGAAGTACAGGAGACTCACTGGACTGAGCCGCCAGACGAATGGCGTAATCGCCCCCGCTCAGAAACTTCTCTGAGAAGGTGGCCCGGGAGGGAGAGAGCTGAGGAAGGGAGAGCTCCTCATCAGTCAGCAGGATTCCTTTGGCCGCTAGGAAACTCTCCCCCAGAGGGAACCAGGAACTGTTGGAAGCCAAGACGATGTCTTCTGTTTCCTTAATGAACTGCAGGACACGAAACTTCACCTCCTCACAAGAGCCAGGACCTAGGGGAATAAAGACATCGTGGCTGAACGCTTTGACCACCCCCCCCCCCAGAGGCACGTGCGCATACACGCATGCACACATTTCTGCCACAGCTGTTTCCTTCACCCAGCTCTTTTTACGGCCTGGAATGTTCCTTGTGTTTCGTTTCACTCAACATTTATGGAGAACCTACTGTGTAAGAAGGTGAGCAATAGCTAATGTCTACTCCACACCAGCCATTGTACTAAGCACATGTACACAGACGATCCAATTGAATCTATACAACAGCCCAATAAGATACTATTCTTATCTGTGTGTTAGAGATGAGAAACTGAGGCATGGAGAAGTCATATCACTTAAACTTAAAGTCACGTAGGCTCCATCCTAGCTAGCAAGTAGTTGATTCAGATTTCTCATCTAGTCAGTATAACTCTAGAACCAGAGATCTGGACTAGCTGCCTCCTATGGAAGGATGCACAGGGATGGATGGATGGATGGATGGATAGATGGATGGATGGATGAGTGGATGGATGG